ACTAATGCAAAGTATGTTTAAAACAAAACGTAGCAATTTAAAAAAAAATAGTGTTGGGAATTGACCAGAAAATATGTAACTGAATACGGTAATTGGATTAATGAAACAGTTTCCTCTGATTTGATTTCATATAATAATTGATTTATAATTTATATACAAATATAAATGTAGGAATTTAGTATCACACTTTCCCTTAACTTCTACTTATGCATGTCATATTCATGATATTTACATGTAGTATTGTACTAAAATTACTAAAGCATACAGATGATAAAATAAAAGAGTACTGTATGTCAAAAAAATGTGTATATGTGTTCCTGACCACATCAGTATTTAAACCTATGATAACTGTTAAAATACAGTAAATTTCATAAGTTATAATAACCATCAGCCATGTCGATTACTCTGCCATATCATCATGATAAAATTCATTGAATAAAGTAAACATTGATTTCAGAGTGACTCCCTCCCCCCAATCACTAACATTCCTGCTGGTATTAAATATGATGTCCTATCCTCTGACATCAGCAGCTGTACTGTAAATCATAAATTTGGAGATTTCATACAGCAGTTATAAGGCCTAAAAAATGTTACCCCAGAGTGTGTTCCCTTTAACATGCTGAAAAATTTGGGTCAGTATAAGAAGGTAGTCAAATAATTTTATTTTTTAAAAACATTTAAACTGGTATAAACAAACTAAATAGTGCTTGTAAAAACTTAAAGTGATTAAAAAAATCTCAGTTGGTAGGGCTAGCAGAAACACATGTAATTTTCTTAAGCCTATAAACAATGTAGGAAGACATTTCTTGTGCAAGGGTCAAAGACAATTTGTTAAGAAATCCAACCCTGATAAATATTAGCAAAGTTTGTTGTGACAATATATAATAACAATAAAACCTAAAGAGGGTCTAATTTAATGGGGTCTTTTTTCTCTGAATTCTTTAATTTTTAGGTCACTTATCTATCTTCTTTAAACTATTTTGTCCATTGTTCTCTTATCTTTAAATTTTAGCACCCAATTATTCTGTATTTTTTTTTTTTTTGCCAATATTTCTCTATTCTGACCCTCATAAAAGAATTACACGATACATTTTATTTCCATCAAGCAGACATACAAGAAATTGGTGTAAAGTTTGAACATAATCACAACATTTAATATGACTGATCTAAATTGCAGTTTTAGAATATTTACTTTAGCATTGTTTAGCAAGTTTAGACATGTTAGGCAGTCAGAGATATAACTCTATAGGGTTATTACAGAAAATAACTTGCGTGTGTTATTACAGATACTTTCATGAGTTGTCTACTCTTTATTCCTTAAATTTTCAAAATCTGTAATAATATATGTTTGTTATTTGTAAAATAAATCAAAAATATTTCAATTTATAGTGGGCTCTAGGGAACTCTAAAGACTTTGCGCAGAAACTAAATGCATAGCCTTGATAACTAATTTTTTAATTAAATTAATACATTTTTGATTAACCATGGTAAATCAATGAGAAGAGGCTTTTAAGGGATAAACTAAGCTGTAATAACAAGGCTTAGTTATTAAAGGAATGTAACTTATTATATGAGGCACTTGGGAATTACTGGGAAGCTTGCGCAGAACTTCATTACATGCTCTGGTCATTATTTCTTACAATAAATTAAAATACATTGTAATTAAGCATGATTTATGTCTGAGCAAATGCTTTGGAGTGATATAGAGAAGCTGTGATAACACCCTTTAGTTATTCCAGGCATATTTTTTCTGTAATAACATAGGTGTACTATGCAAGATTGGCAAACTGTTATATCTTTCTATAGTTAAGTATACATAAAGACAATAGTAATATCAATAGAACTTGTATACATTTTAACTAAACTAATGATGTATATTGTCCCTTTGAAACATGTAACATACATATGTTATCACAGTTCTTTGATTTTTTAGTCCACAATAACAAATGTATGTTATTTTTCTGTAATAACCCTATAGAGTTATATCCCTGACTGTTAGGGGTCCACACCCACAGGTGATTGTAGAATAGACCAGACCCCCTTTTTTCTATACAGCAGAACCTTGTTGTGTCAACCTCAGTTGTATCGAAAACTCAGATAAGTCGAGGTATTTGTCAGTCATGGAAAAATTCCTGTTTGTTTGATACATTTCGAACTCTGATGGTTAGATGGTTCTTCTTGGTTGATTGAAAATCTCTGTAAGCTCAAGTATATTTCAGAGTCCCTTAACAGAAAAATGCATTTAAATTAACTCTGATGTGTCAAAGTTTGAAGAACAAGAAAATTTGGAAGGAAAATACAAACTTTTTTTAATTTCAAAATTCTGATTCAAAGAATGAAATGGTATGTTTTTATTGTGCACCTAAATGAGATTCCTTAGTTACATTTGTAATTCTAGGTAGATACATTCGTTTGTATAACAACCAGAATAACATACATGTAAAACTTCTTGTTTGCCAACACCTATTATGTTTGACCATGCAGATGTTTGTGGAACACATATTACCTGACAGTCAGGGGTACTACTTGTAAAAGTAATTTTTATTTACTTGAAGAAGTAAATATTAATATACTTATATAATTTAATTTGTAGGATACTTATACAAGTGTATTTTATTTACTTGTATAGGTAAATTATTTTTTGGCCTAATTATGTCCCTTAGACACTAAATTTTTTTTACTTATACAAGTAAAAAAGTCATCCTATCTTCTTTTCTTAAATTCTTAGACTTCTTTGCTCTAACAGAATTTTGAATTGTCTGTCCTTTGCAGATGTCATTACTAATCATTTAAGTGTAATTTCATGGACAATGAAAATCTCATTTGTCTGTTATCTTCAGAACACTGCTCATTTACAAGCCCCCAAGGAGCAATTTTTGAAGGCCTTGCGCATATACTTAAGGTCTTTGCGCAAACAGTTTCTTTGTTGAATTAATGAGATGAAACATTGAAATCTTATTAAAAATTATGAGCTAACCTGAGAAAAATTGTTAAAGGCATGATTTTACATCTCAAAACTTCCGAATTTTTGTGGGATTGTAAAAATAATTTTACTTATACAAGTAAATTTTTGAGAAAATTAAGGGGAGATTATTCAAACATTATAATTAACTTATATAAGTATATTTTATTTACTTATTCAAGTAAATAAAGATTACTTGTACATGTAGTACCCCTGACTGCCTGAGATAATCATGGAAAGAATTATTAGACAAAAACCAAGAAAATCCATTAAAGATGAAAGAATCATTAAACTTATAAAAGTAATTTTAAATGATTAAGACTCCATTTTAACAGATAGTGGCAAAGGAAAGACGGCAATACATGTATACTATCGTATTCTATATTTTCTAATTATATAATCTTTGTAAACAACTGACATGTACAATTAATTCTGTTTTTTTTTAAGAAATAATTTTTTTTTTAATTCTACATGAACACTAAGATATGTTACCCCCTTTAACATACCAGGTTAAGAATACACGTTGAAACATTGAAATGGAGAAAGCATGATGTAGCTCATGACCTAGGATGAGTATGGTTGGATCCCTTTGTATTCACTTATCGAGGTTCACCTGTATATATATATATATTTTGATGTATTCTTTAATATGTAAACTTATCTAATGTGCTCTTGCACTTATCCATACTATATATATTACAATAACAGTAGTTTATATATGATGCATTGCGTACAGTGTTCGAGCTTGAATCTCAGGGCAGATGGGTGCTAGTTGTCTGAAAGGGCACTTTAGCGTTATAACCCAGATTTTAAGGGCAATGTTGGACAGTGTATAAATTACCTTGAATATTGCTAGGCTCAGCTGGAGAACATTTAGTTGTATTTAAACCATATTCAGAAATTTATGTGTTCTTGATGTTGGTTCCAGTAAGAATTTTTTTTTATCAAATTATCATACCATGAAGCAAATTAAAGCATATCATTTTGATGTTAATCTAAACAAACTTGTACATTTGGTAAGGAAAATAATCATCAGAAATTTCAATGTTTTATAACTTATACCAAAATAAAGAAGAAGTTTTGAAAGATGAAGTTATACATGCAAAATTGAATGTTTATTAATAATTCAATGAAAAATAAGTAAAAACTATTAAAGAATATTTAATAAAAAAATTAAAGTATCTTGTTTTACCATGTTTACATTAGTCATTTCAGGGCCATTTAGTTTTAAAGCTGACTATGCGGTATGAGCTTTGCTCATTGTTGAAGGCTGTACGGTGACCTATAGTTGTTAATTTCTGTGTCATTTTGTCTCTTGTGGAGAGTTGTCTCTGTGTCATTTGGTCTCTTGTGGAGGGTTGTCTCATTGGCAATCATACCACATCTTCTTATTTTTATATATAAAGAAAAAAGGGGGTCCATTCCATAAGAACCTGTGTCCCAACCAATATAGAGCTTATCTAACTGTAACCCATACCTCACCCTAACCATAATGTTCATGGACCCCTAAAGTAAAAGCTGGCCAACTATTTTAAGTAAATTGCCTCCATTTTCCTTCAAAGCCTCTATCATTTTGTCTTGGTTCTTTCCTCCTATGATTAGAGCAGATGTCATTCCAGGAAATTTTTTTAAAAACTCTGACAAAACTTCATATATTTGGCATGCTAATTCCCTGGTAGGTGTAATTATAATTGCTCCAACTTCATGTTTTGAAAGAGGTTCTTTCTTGTTCAACATTTCAAGAACAGGTATAAGAAAAGCCAATGTTTTGCCACTTCCAGTGACTGCCTCCGCGGCTACATCTTTGTTTTTCATGAATAATGGAATGCATGCTGACTGAACAGGGGTTGGCTCTTCGAAATTAAGTTCTTTTAAAATGTTACAGATCGGTAACGAAAGACTGATTGACAAATTTTTCCACGTGCCAGCCATTTTAACTGGTACCTTTGACTGCCACCAAAAGAGCATAACGAATAAACATCGTGGAATATAATAAACCAGTCAGGCTCGACTCTTCTTACCTTCGTTGGGAAGAGTTCGTTACAAACAATGCAAGACAAGAAAATATGCACGCCGAATTGACTGCTTCATAGTTAACGTGTAAGTCGTGTATGCATAATTATTTAAAGTTAATGAAGGGTTAAACTAACATTTGAACTAATATTAATAGCGACTTAAAACATAAAAATTGGAAAAGCTCATAAAATTATGTGAAGCAGTTAGAATCCTAGTCCAAATAATTATGACGTCTTGGAAGGCAATTTTAAATTTTTGCTTTGACGCCTTGGTCGATGTAAGGCGTCAAAGAAAAATATAATAGCCTTTCAAGATGTCATAATTATTTGGACTATTAGAATCCGAGACTGGCAACATGTACAAGTGAGAGGTTAATTAAAAAGATACATTTCCTATATTGTTAAAAAAATCAGCGCATGTAATTAAGCAGTTAGAATCAGAGACATATATACAAAAATACATAATAAATAATAATTAGTTGTTTGCTACAGTTACCCCAGCTATTGTTTAATCCACATATGAGGATAAAAAAAAATAATCATTGTACAGTCAGGGGACTTATTGAAATAAGTGATTTTTAAATCACTTATTTAAGTAGCAAATTCGAAGTTTTGTCACAAATTGTGATTTTGTAGTTTTACCAAAATTTTAAACACATAGGTTTAGATAATATCTTTTCATTAGTAAAATTGAAAAAAATGAACTTTTTGCTTCTTTTAAGCAGCAAGGTTTATGCCTTTGATGCAATCATTAAGCTGCAAATTCTATTTTAGTTGAAAAAATGCTATAAAAATGGCTTTACATTATAATGAACTGAAACTTTCTTAGCAGATTTTTCCCAGCAGTGGGATTATTTTTCCTGTAAAATTCAAGGTTTCATCTTATAGATTATGTAATAAAATTCTACTGTTCGCGATCAAAATTTCACTGTTCGGGGGTGTTGAAATTAGTGGGGGTTATTAAAATAATGATACTTAAAGAAGTGATTTTTTTGGAAGGAAATTGAGGTATGATACTTAAACAAGTGATTTTTTGTTGAGCCTGCGACTTTTGTCGCAGAAAGCTCGACATACATGACATAGGGATAGTGATCCGGCGGCGGCGGTGGCTACGGCAGCGGCGGCGTTAGCTAACTTCTTAAAAGCTTTATATTTTAGAAGGTAGAAGATCTGGATGCTTCATACTTTGTATATGGATGCCTCATGTTACGAAGTTTCCGTCAGTCACATGTCCAATGTCCTTGACCTCATTTTCATGGTTCAGTGACTACTTGAAAAAAAAAGTTCAGATTTTTTGTAATGTTAAATTCTCTCTTATTATAAGTAATAGGATAACTATATTTGGTATGTGCGTACCTTGCAAGGTCCTCATGCCCGTCAGACAGTTTTCACTTGACCTCGACCTCATTTCATGGATCAGTGAGCAAGGTTAAGTTTTGGTGGTCAAGTCCATATCTCAGATACTATAAGCAATAGGTCTAGTATATTCGGTGTATGGAAGGACTGTAAGGTGTACATGTCCAACTGGCAGGTGTCATCTGACCTTGACCTCATTTTCATGGTTCAGTGGTTACAGTTAAGTTTTTGTGTTTTGGTCTGTTTTTCTTATACTGTATGCAATAGGTCTAATATATTTGGTGTATGGAATGATTGTAAGGTGTACATGTCTAGCTGGCAGGTGTCATCTGACCTTGACCTCATTTTCATGGTTCAGTGGTCAAAGTTAAGTTTTTGAGTTTTGGTCTTTTTTTCTAATACTATATATGCAATAGTTCAACTATATTTAGTGTATGGAAATATTTTATGATCTATATGTCAGTCACGCAGGTTTTATTTGACCGTGACCTCATTTTCAAGGATCATTGCTCAGTGTTAAGTTTTTGTGTTTTGGTCTGTTTTTCTTAAACTATAAGCAATAGGTCAACTATATTTGTTGTATGGAAGATTTGTTAGCTGTACATGCCTGCCTTGCATGGTTTATCTGACCTTGACCTCATTTTCATGGTTCATTGGTCAATGTTTAGTTTACTTGGTTAATGTTAAGTTTATGTGGCAGTTGTAATAAAGCTTTATATTTAGGACTATCAGCATAATATCAATGATTAGTAAAGAAGGCAAGACATTTCAGCGTGTGCACTCTTGTATGTCATTATCCTGGATTTAGTACAAGGTTATCCCCTGACATGACCTGGTCATCCTATCAACACAGATGGTGGTTCTGATCATTTTAGCAACATTATTAGTCCCTGGATCATTAGTATTCTATATTTAAAGCTACAATAAAATTAAATCACTTAGTCTAGTGATTAATTTGTACTACTTAAATTGGTGATTATTAAAGAAAGACAACTCTTACTTCCAACCTTTATGGACACAATGTTACTTGAATCAGTGATTTAGAAAATCACTCATTTAAGTAAGTCCCCTGACTGTTGTAATTAAAATTGTTTTTTTCTGTATTTACAGTCTACTTATATATACAACGAATAACGCTAGCACCAGTTTTGTATGTTTACTAGCAATGTACAGTTGTTATGAATGGAAGTTACTTGTTAATATAAGTTCCAGTATTATCATAGGGGAATCACAGGGGTGCTCTGGGATGATGTTTGTAAATAGTATAATCATCTATATCCCCTGTATCATTAGCATGCCTTCTTTCTTTTTCCCATCACATGTTAAGATAGTGGCACACAAGCAGACCAGTGAAATTGAATTTAAGAAACGATTTCGTCCTTTTAAGTCCCCCAAGGACGTTGAACTACATTTTGAACTTGGATGAACTCCCAGCGTAATGCATTGCGGGGGACATGGAAATATCGGGCGTCCGTCTGTACGGTCTTGTTAGCGCTCTCATGGGTACAATTCTTGCCAGATTTTTATAAAACTTATACTATAGGTTAATGTCAGCAATATCTCGGACAAGTTTTATAATGTGGCCGATCGACTTTTTTTAAAAGAGTTGTGCCCCTTGGAAATGTTAAATTTATGGAAAATGGTCTCGTTAGCGCTCTCACTGGTACAATTCTTGCCAAATTTTTATAAAACTTATACTATAGGTTAATATCAGGAATATCTCGGACAAGTTCTATAATGGTGGCCGATCGACTTTTTAGTCCCCTACCGATGAAGTCGAAGGGGATTTTAGGTTTACACTCCGTCCGTCTGTCCATCTGTCAGTCTGGCAAATCAGCTTTCCACACTTTTTTTTTTTCGTTCTTGAAGATATTGATTTGATATTTGGTATATAGTTTTATCATGACAAGTTATAGATCAAGTTCGAATTTTGTTCCGGTCTGATGATTTAGTCCAGAGTTATGGACCATAACTCTGGACCATATCTAATGTTAGAGTACTATGTTAAACCATATTTCTGTACAAGGGAGATAACTCATTTTTTAAAAGACATTTTTTGTTAAATTATTTGAAGAATTTTTAAGCAGGTTTGTCAGTGTTCTCCCCAGGCCCTTAAAGGACCGCGGGCCCGCGATGTATAATTTTTTACCGTGGTGGTATCGTTCTTACCGCGATGTATAATTTTTCTCCGTGGTGCTAAAATTTTCAGTTAAAAAATCGTAAATCGGTAAAGTTTTAAACGACTTGTTAAATCTTTTCCGTGCGGTATAAAATTCCAGGTGAGATTTGACCAGTTCAAACCAGTTCAACACAGATTGTTTACACCACGTGATCGATTTACCTTATGCGGTTAACCTTGTTGATTGGATTTAATCGATGTAATTAACACTTGTAACATGATTCTTTTGTGTTTTAATTAAGAGTTCATAACTTTATGATCACAGATAACTATTTTATGGCTTCATTCTCCACCCAAGCACTGACCTGTGACAAGTCGGCTAATACTTTGTACACAAACAGTGTCTTGACCCGATAGGAACATTTTTTGTACATCATAACGGTGGCTCATTCCGTATAATGGACAACTATACATTTCCCAATTATAGTATTATATGTCCCTGATTAAACCATGGCCAATATTATCTTTAATTATGACATTGTTATTGCATGAAAGTCGGGTTTCAAACTGTCTGTACATATCACATGACCCAGTTAGTTCACGTAGAATATTCAAGTTTATTTACAATTAATTGCAATCTATTATATTTTATAAATAAAATGCATGACTGTACCTTCAAACTGGATATCTATATCCATAATTAATGAATAACAGAAGTAATCTTGCAAATTTTATCCATAAGCACATGTTAAATCTATTTATATCTACTTCCTGTCATTTAGGCGGGAAAATAGGGAGACTTAGTTGTTGACATTGAGTATGGTTACTTATAGATCTATAGACCAAAGATAAATTTATAGATTTAGGAATTCTTTTTAAATGGTTCATGACAAATAAAGATTTAGATTTTAGGGCAGTATTAAGTCTGTATCTATGTTTGATTATCACCAAAGACAAGAAAGGTTAATATTTACATGAAATCTATGGCAAAATGTTCTAAAATTTATGAAAAATTTCTTTTTATTAAAATCTAAGATAGAAACTGGTTCAAATAATAAAACAATATTTGCAATTGTTCTTGTTAATTTTATATCTTCTTATGACAGGAATCCTTTCACATACAACAACTTTTTTTCTAGAAACTAGAATGTTTTTTAAATTGGAACATTTTTGTTCTCTTTTGAATGATATTTTATTTTTATTGATTTTGGATTTTATAAAAGATTTAATTACTTTAAATTCAGATGAATATTTTATTATGAATCATAATTTATTTATTTAAAAAAATATTAAAGTATACAAACTGTTTTTTTTATTTACTTCTTTTTTACCAATAATTTTCTGAATCAATGTCTACATAACACAGTACCACAGTGTTAAAACAAAACAAGAGACATAAAAACTACAGTAACTAGAGCTAAGCGACGCGATGCGACACAACTGATTGCATGAAATATTTCACCAAGAAGTCCACACGCGTTACCCTGGTGCTATCCAAAAATCCTGGGGAGAACACTGGGTTTGTTTGTTATTTAGTATAAACTAATTTTCTGAATGCAATATATATAAAAAAAAATTATGAAGAGAAATCCTTTAATTAGATAATAATCTATTTTTATTAATGTATATATTTCAATACATTACATTGTGTAGATAAAAGTTGTTGACATTTTATAGATAAGTTACAAATCTATATTAGTTTGTGACAAATGAAAGAAAAAATATTTGGAACTACCGGTATTACTTATTTGATTATAATTTGAAAATAGATATACATTGTATTACATCATATCTAATTTTAGAGAACTATTAATCATATCTAATGTTTTTTTCACTCAAATAATCAGTTTTTCACACTGTTTTTAGTCATGCTTGAAGATATTGACATGATACTTACTTTTTGTTTAAGCTAGGATTTTGAGGGCTTTAGTCACTTTTGCACTGGATGAAAATCAACCTTATTTTGGGTAGCAGCAAGGGACCTAGGATGTATATTACTATCTATACATCTTTGTCAGACTGAAGGACTTACTATAATAGGCATACTAGGCAGTTACTGCATGATTTGACTGATGTGACACTTTAATACGTTTTTGATTTAAAGTTATATCAAATATGACAAAAAAATACATTCATTTGACGAAACTATGACAAGCGATCTGCAAATTGTGATCATTTGAGAAATATTGAAATTAAAATGCGAACTGTCCGAGGGAAAACTGAAATGACGAAACTATGACAAACGAACTGCAAATTGTGCTCGTTTGATAAATATTATAATTGAAATACCGACTGACTGATTTTACTGGGAAAAATAACTATGATGATCAATTATGAGGTTGATAAATAATTAACGGATTAGTGACCCATCCGATGGCGATAAGCGGATTATCTGTAATCACAACTTATAACACCTGTTGTAAATGTTAATTAGCTGAGGGTCATAAACTTGTCAGAAACAATAAGACAGGTAGAATTATAGTATTTTCATGTGAAAATATTTTTACTCTTTCCAAATTTCAGTGACGAAATTGATTTGGAATACTTTCGTCATTTTGAAAACCGTTTCGTAAATGACGAAATTGACGAGCGCTAGCAAAATCACTGACCATGACAAGTTATAGAACAAGTTAGCATTTTGTTCCAGTAAAATGAATTTTTTCCTGGTAGGGGACTATGTATTGCCATGCAATACTCTCAGAATGCTTGTTTTAAAAGAGTTATGTCCCTTGGAAATATTAAATTTATGGAAAATGGCCTTGTTAGCGCTCTCACGGGTACAATTCTTGCCAGATTTTTATAAAACTTATACTTTAGGGTAATATCAGCAATATCTCGGACAAGTTGTATAATCATGATAATTGTGAACGATCAATTTTTTTTAAAAGAGTTACAAATGTATGCCCCTTGGAAATATTAAATACGTGCGACATGGGGGACATTGGAACTCTGTTCTTTTATTAATTTTGTTTTACCTGTGTGATGAGATTGCTTCCCTTAACTAGTAGGTGCATAGCCCGTTGTATGCAGTTGAGCTAGGACTTAAGTCCTTCTTTAGCTCAGTTGGTTAGAGAGCTGACTTGTAACACAGAGGTGCTGCATTCAGGCCACATTATTCATGTTGTTATTATATTCTCATCCTAACTTATCATGCTTATGGTAAAGAAGAACAATTTTTAAAAAAACATTATTGAAAAGCTTGGCCTACAATGTACATTATTTTTATTTGAATTTGATTACTTATAACTATCATGACTATGTTATAAGTAATGCACAGCCAAATTTAACATTATTTTTATTATCAGGAGGTATTACATGTAATTAATGTTTACAAATCACTAAACAAACTGTAAGGGGAGACAAATCACAATTTATTATCAAATTTATTAATCCATAGACAAAAATCATTCTTCATGAGACTGTTGTTTTCTATTAAACGTTTAGCAGTGTACAAAAACTGCATGTCTAGTTCAGCAGGTAATTTTCACCTGTGAGGTTGTTTTTTCCATTGCAAACATCTCTTAGACTGGCACATACCTCAAGTTTATACTTTGTAATTGTAGGACTATGAATTCCCATAATCCATAATCTCTCTGTGGTATGGGAAAATCGAGAGGAAAAATGGGAAGAAAGAAAGGATGGTTTAAGAAGGGACATCAGCCTGGTGCTCATGATGTTAAGAAAGAAGAAGAAGACAATGAAAATGGAGATTCAGCGAAGAAGCCAAAGACTGATTTAGATATGGAAGAAAGTGGTATACAGTTTTATTCTGCAATTTTGTTTACTGATGGCAGATTTTGATAGTCTCCATTAAAACTTTTATGATCTAGATTTTTGGTGACTTATTGATCAAGATATACCACTACCTTGACTACACGTCCTTGGGTCTTTTTTTTGTTTGTAATTTACTTGCTGTCTTTATATATATTCCATTTGTTTTCTTATTTATATGTTTTTGAAAATATGAATATATTTTTACTCATTACAAAACAGGTTTTCTTCCTGTTTTCGACATCTCATATATAGCTTTGTCTACTTATTTTTTAAGTTAAAAATTTTGTAGTGTAATTATTTTTACTATTTAAAGAATTTTTACCTTGACATATGTTTTAAAAATATATGTTTATGTCCAAATACAACACAGCACTCCATGACAATTGTACAACGATGTGTAGTTATATTTAAAACAATTTAGTAATGCCTTGTATCAAGGCTTCCAAAAAGTATTTGTGCCAGCCGGACATTTTTTGTTTTATCCCGATTTTAATCCCTTAAGACTAAGTAACAAAAGCCAATCATGGTAATCAGTTGGACATCATGTTTTATCAAATGATTGTTAAAGTGTATGATTTGAGTATGAAATGGAAAAAATGCTTCTGTCAATGCATGCATTTACATCCCAATAGATATGCCTAAAAAACTTCTTAAATGATTTTTTTTTTGTAGATGTCTCTGACGATACTGTATATAAATTTGACTTTGATTTGGATGAGCTCATTGGATCAACTATAACAGACCTAACAGACCCTGATAAAGATGAAGACACAATAAAGTATCGACAGACATTAAATAACTTCTCAACTCAACTCAAAACAGTCGAATGTAAGTATTTTGTTGTTCAGTGTAAGTATTACGTTGTTCAATGTAAGTATCATGTTGTTCAATGTAAGTATTTTGTTGTTCAATGTAAGTATTTTGTTGTTCAATGTAAGTATTATGTTGTTCAATGTAAGTATTATGTTGTTCAATGTAAGTAATTTGTTGTTCAGTGTAAGTATTACGTTGTTCAATGTAAGTATCATGTTGTTCAATGTAAGTATTTTGTTGTTCAATGTAAGTATTTTGTTGTTCAATGTAAGTATTATGTTGTTCAATGTAAGTATTATGTTGTTCAATGTAAGTATTTTGTTGTTCAATGTAAGTATTATGTTGTTCAATGTAAGTATTATGTTGTTCAATGTAAGTATTTTGTTGTTCAATGTAAGTTATGTTGTTCAATGTAAGTATTTTGTTGTTCAATGTAAGTATTATGTTGTTCAATGTAAGTATTATGTTGTTCAATGTAAGTATTTTGTTGTTCAATGTAAGTTATGTTGTTCAATGTAAGTATTTTGTTGTTCAATGTAAGTATTTTGTTGTTCAATGTAAGTATTTTGTTGTTCAAAGTAAAGTATTATGTTGTTCAATGTAAAGTATTTTGTTGTTCAATGTAAGTATTATGTTGTTCAATGTAAGTATTATGTTGTTCAATGTAAGTATTATGTTGTTCAATGTAAGTATTATGTTGTTCAATGTAAGTAATTTGTTGTTCAGTGTAAGTATTACGTTGTTCAATGTAAGTATCATGTTGTTCAATGTAAGTATTTTGTTGTTCAATGTAAGTATTTTGTTGTTCAATGTAAGTATTATGTTGTTCAATGTAAGTATTATGTTGTTCAATGTAAGTATTTTGTTGTTCAATGTAAGTATTATGTTGTTCAATGTAAGTATTATGTTGTTCAATGTAAGTATTTTGTTGTTCAATGTAAGTTGTTCAATGTAAGTATTATGTTGTTCAATGTAAGTATTTTGTTGTTCAATGTAAGTATCATTGCTGTTAACCTTTCTCATTACTATAGAATCCTTATTATTCCTGGGATACCAATTTATGTTTAAGTGGGTATAGGCCAGGTCATCCACAAATTTAAATGGTCAACGAAGTACACATTTTCAAAAGGTTTGTATGCAGACTTTGGCAAATTCACGAAATCAAATATCCACAAAAACATAAGTTGTCTTCAATCCACGATAAATTGGTATCCATGAAAATAAATGAATCCACAATATGTAGCTTTCTTTGTGTGTTTACATCTTTTTTTTTTATTTTAGCCAAACAAAAGCAAGTGACAAAAATTTTAGATGAATGTGATGAAAAAATTCAACAATATCGAGAAGAATTGGAAGATCTTGATAAAGAAGAAGAGTAAGTCTATGTGGATCCAACCTTGTCAAATCTGACTCGCAACCTTGGGGGGTTTGGCAACCTTGCATCAAAAGGACCTGTGACCTTTAAAAATGTTTAAAACAGTTAAATTTGCTTTAAAGTGGCCTGGTAACCTATGGCAACGTGACCTAAGAGTGAAATCCAACTGAAGTCCAGTCTATCAAAGTTATAAATGTTTCTTTTGGTCTTAAAATGGAAAGGAGAAGGTAGGATTAGGCCACTTTTTGGTCCCTTGAATTGAAAAATCAAAAAGTATTATAAGTACCACCATGACCACATAACACCCTTCAGATGTTTATAAAGACATTAGTCTGCCAGACATCAGTATTAATGTTTTTGAATCTTGTCTTACATTTTGGCATTAGGGCTTCAAACTTCTTACTTTATGACTAAACAGTAAAAAAAGTGCCAAAAATAGCCTCATTTTGAGATCTTGTCATTAATATTTAGATATAAGCAAGATCTTTACTCGAAAAGTTATTTTGCAACAAATTGTATTTTACAAACTATGTTTATGTATCTTTTAAATTATAAATTTTGGTCACATTTTTCTCAGGAACTACTAATCAGAGCTTCCTGAAATTTGGTATCAAGCTTCATGTTGGGCTGTGAGATGTTGTTTTTATTCAATTTCATTGCTTATCCACTTCCAGTTTACAGAATACTTATAATGGCCATGCATTTAATGTTTGTGGCATTTTTCTAAAGAACTACAAATGATCAAGGCTTTCTGAAATATGGAATCAACCTTAAATTGAAGACTTATGAAGGGGGGTTTGGGGGTTGGGACTTTCATTAATCAGTTCAACTTGTTATTTTTGTCTCGCCTTGACGGAGTCAAAAAGCGAGACATAGGTATGCTGTTTCCGTCGGCGGCGGCGTCAACAATGTATTAGTTTGTGATTAGGTCTAGTTCATGGTGAACCACTAGTCGTAGGTCAATGATATTTGGTATGCAGTTGTATGAGCATTGGCACATCTCATTACCATGGAGATTATTTGGCCCCGCCCCCTCAGTCAAGGTCTATTGACTTCGAAACTTTTCATAGTTAACATGTATTAGTTTGTGATTAGGTCTATTTATGGGGAACCACTAGTGGTAGGTCAATGATATTTGGTATGCAGTTGTATAAGCATGGGCATATCTCATTTCCATGGAGATTATTTGGCTCCGCCCCCTTAGTCATGGTCTATAGACTTTGAAAATTTTGTTTAGTTTACCTGTATTAGTTTGTGATTAGGTCAGTTCAAGGAGAGCCATTAGTGGTAGGCCAATGTTAATTAGTGTTCAGTTGTATAAGCATTAGCACATCTCATTTCCATGGAAAATATTTGGCCCCGCCCCCTCAGGCATGGTCTATTTACTTTGAAACTTTTGCTTAGTTTACATGTATTAGTTTGTGATTAGATCAGTTTAAGATGAACTGCTAATGTTAAGTCATTGATATTTGGTATGCAAATTTATTGGCATTTGCAAGTATCGTTTCCATGGACATTATATAGCCCCACCCCCTCATCATGGTTCATTGACTTTGAAACTTTTTCATTGTTTACAAGTTAATGTTTGTGTTTAGGTTTGATTAAAGGGAACGACTTATAATAAGTCAATGGTATTTGGTATGCAGTTGTATTAGCATTGGCACATCTCATTCCATGGAGATTGTTTAGCCATGTACCTTCAGTCATGGTTCATCGACTTTGAATATTTGCATTACTTACATGTTAAAGTATTGCAATTTTAATTTCAACATTTGCATTATCAAAATTACAAAAAGGAGAGACATATCTCTGTGATAACAGTTTATTATAATACAGTGAAAACTATTTAGTAACTGTTGGATGAGAAATATGTTGATGGTCTAATTTCTATATAATTTCTATAAATTCTATCCAGCACTCAGCTTCCTCCACCAATAAAAACTGACCGCAACGATATAACCAATAGTGCTGAAAGTGGCCTTATGCAGCAACAATCAATCAATCAATCTTATTTCTATATATTTTCTATAGACAGAAAGAAGCTGCTGCAGAATTGGCTGCCAAAGATGCTGCTGAGGCCAATGCCAAGAATGAAGAAACTGACAGTGATGACGATGTACAGTTTATATCAACAAGTTTTGATCCAGATGTGGCGGCTAAAAATAAAACTATTGTAGAACAAAGCACAAACTTGATCCAGACATTGAATAACACTTCACCAAGTAAAGGGCCTAGGTATGAGTATATTGTGTGATGATAATACCAAAATAAGATGTTGTATAATTGCCAATGAGACAACTGTACACTTAACATTTTGCTTAAAGACCAAAGGAAAAGGATGTATAGTTATCTCAATAGATTGTTTATATTGCTTATACTTTAAGCATTTTTTAAATCAGACTATTTTACTTCAAAAGATTAACTAGTAATCAGTCCAAAAAATATTCCTTCAATTTAATTAAGCACATGAATGAGTGTCTGAAAAATAGCAGCTGATCATCAAATGTTTGACCTTAAAAACCCAGTTTTTGAAATTAACTACCAAAACATTTGTTAAATTATCTTCTGCTGTTACCTCAAAATGGCTTAAACTAATTTGTAATTTCTAATAACTTTCTATTTTAAAGTTCACCATAAGCACAGAAAAAAAGATGAGTAAGGGAGATAATTCAAGAAGAAAAGAAAATCTGACTTTTTTACTTAAGTAATCAAATCTTGAATTCTCATTGTTGGAGGCCATACAGTTGCCTATATTTGCTTACATCCACTTCATTTGAACTATGGTGGATAGCTGTATAATTGGCAATCATACCACATCTAATTTTTATATTCTAAGGGAGATTACTCTACTCAGGGCTTTCAATAACTTTTCAATGAACAGGCTGTTTACTAATTTGAAGTGGCTGACCCAAAAGGGGGGGGGGTCAGGGGGTCTTGCCCCCCGAAATTTTTTTTGACCTTACTTTGAAAATGGTGCACTCTGAGGCATTTTCACACTATTTACAAGTGCATAAAAAATGGGGTTTCATAGGAATGTTGTCTATTTTTTTAGCTTGTAAGGTCAATCTTGTGATATTGCGTATTAAAATAAGACAAATTGGTACTTTTTTCAACGAGTGGGCTAATGATCAGCAAGGGGAAAATTATAACTGAAAAAAATAAAGAGAGCCTTTTCCCTAGCCTTGGCATTTACCCTCCTACCTACTTTTTCAGAAAACTTGAGGGGAAAGGTCCAACTATAAATAAAAAATGGGAAGCCTCCCTCCTATCCTAGGCTTCTTTGATGGCCCCATCCACAACAAATGGGCAGTGATAAACATGGAACTATATACTGTAAATTCAGAAATTATTGCGATGTTTTTATTATTGCGAAAAATGCGACAGGGTTATATTCGCAATAATTTAAACTCGCATTTTGAAATTTTTTATTTGAATTAAGCAGGATTTTTCTCAATATCGCAAAAATTTAAATCGCAATTTAGTCTAAAATGACAAAATCGCAATAATAAATGCACGCAATAATTTCTGAATTTACAGTACTACAAACTGAAGAGAAAAGGTAAAAAAAAAATGGGCAGCACCCCTCCTAGCCTAGGCACTATTTTCAACCCCCATTCCCTCCCCAAGAGTTACAGGGTGGTAATAATAAATGAAATACTTGTTACATTATAAAAAGGGCATAGAAGGCAAGCTTGGGCAGGCCTCATTTATATAAACATGAGACTGTACAGACCTTCTATTAAAGGCTTCTTTGAAATTTAATAACTTCAAATAAAAAGTTTTACCTGTAAATGGTTCCAATGATTTTGTCTTTTTGCTGGTAAAGAAATCATTTACTTTTGGTCTTTCATTTCATTCAGTTTCATTTAATTTATTGACATGCAATTTAAAAAATTGCCTCCTAAAACCTTTTTAATTTTGGTTTCTCATGAGTTATCCATTGATAACATACGTTTTTATTTCGATATCTCTCTTGATTTTACCATTATCAATCTTGATCATTCAAGCGATTGATTGAATATCGTATTTGAATGCAGGCAAACGTCTTACTGACGCCGATTTTAAGTTTACTTTCAGTCAGACGAAATGGTCCAGTCGGTTATGAAAAGCCATCGTTTTTGAAAAATCTATGAAACTAAAAACTCCATGAGACAAAAGGTTAATAAACCTTTTTTTTATTTTATTCTCTTCAAAAATATTTTTTGTTTTAGCATTTGAACCGGCGATTTCCGTCTTTTGAAACGGCGACATTCCGCCGGGTGCCGGCTCTTAATGAAAACCCTGTCTACTTCCAAAATATTTTACATGAAAGAAAATTCATAAAATTTATTTGTTTAAACCCTGACTGATTAATTATGCAGTGATTGGGTCAGTTAAGCATTTTTTATAAATAATCCTAGTATTCTGATTGCTTAAAAATGATACATTTCTTGTTAGCTGAATATGTAAAAGTATATAATATGAAATAATTTTCTCCGTCAGTATGAAAAAACTCACAAAACTAAGCACTTTTTTATAATAGACAAACTTGCAAAGTAAGATATGTTGGTGTGCACAAAATATGGGAAAATATGTCATATTTTGTGCACACCAATTATTTCATATTTTGTGCATATCTAAATAGTAAGTTTGTCTATTGTATAAAAAAGTGTTTTATTTGTTTTGTGAGTTTTTCATACTGACAGAGAAAATAATTTTTTAAGGATTCACAATTCAATGAAAACCTAGAATTTACAGTTACTATGAATTAAACTGCAAAACCATGGATATTAATAACTATGGAAAAATAATGATTTTACTGTTATGTGTAGTGTATTTTCCTTTTTACCACAATAATCTTCTTACATCAGAAACCTTTCACCTATAAGTCAATTTTCTTGCCAGTTTAATTTCCATTTTAATTTTATCTAGGGCTATTTAAAGAAATATTCATGACTTATATTTTTGGAATAAAAAAGATTGTGGGTTGTGGTGTGATCATTTAAAATGTTTTTGTGTATTTTGATCATGTTAAGCCATTTCAATTGATTTTTTAATGTGTGTCTTTTTATGTTGTAATGTTATACCACCGTTTCAGGTTAGGGTGAAGGTTGACGCCTGTTAAAACGTTTAACCACGCCACATTCTATATGTGCCTGTCCCAAGTCAGGAGCTTGTAATTGAGTGGTTGTCTTTGTTGGTGTTTCTCATATTTGTTTTTCGTGTATTGTTTTGCATAGTTTGTTCTTATGTTTTACCGTTACATCACTGTCCCAGGTAAGGGGGAGGGTTGGGCGCCAAAAAACTAGTTCTAACGCGCTAGCAATGTTCAGTGGTTGTCATTTGTTGGTATGGTTCATAAGTGTTTCTCGTGTCTCGTTTTTTATATAGATTAGACCGTTGGTTTTCCTGTTTGAATTGTTTTACACTAGTCTTTTTGGGGCCCTTTAATTTATAGCCAAGGCTCTGTGTTGAAGGCCGTACTTTGACCTATAATTGTTTACTTTTTACACATTGTGACTTGGATGGATAGTTGTCTCATTGGCACTCATACCACATCTTATTTATATATAAAAAATGACCACAATGGTGTGACCAAAAAACACTGTAAACAGACCACCAACCTTGATGAAAAATGAATTAAACAAAATCAACCTGATAGATCTTTATTTCAAAGCTGAGTTTGAATTAATTTTGATGACCAAACTACAATGGAAGAGTGGCATTATGTTTTCTGGGTTGACTGTAATTTGGTCAGTCTGTCCAGATCAGGTCAAAGATGTTAGTTATAGTAGTTAACCAAGAAGTTCCGGTCATATCAACTTGAAACTTTCACATATTCATTATGAATCTTCAACTTAAAATTTAGTACACTGGTCATTGTGATTAGAAGTTTTAAAATGATTAGCCAAATAACAGTTTTGACCCCAGTTTTACTAATCACTGGATATGGAAAGGAGTTGGTTCACTAACTCATAATTTAGGCCCTTAAAACCTAAAAAAATTTAACTGCTAAGATGTTGTGAAAATTATATGAAAGCATATGTTAAAATTTCCAATTGTTTCAGTTATAAATTTATTTTTCACCAATTACGTCATAAGTGATATATTTGTGATGTCATAAATGTAGGGGAATTTGGAATGCCTGATTTTTGGAATAATTTGGAGAAGTTTATGTCAGTTTTCTGAAAAATTAACAGTGGCGCCACCCCTCGCCCACAAATATTTTTGCTGAAATATTTTAAATATACCATATTCTTTAGTTTTCAATCAAAATTTCAATGGGCGAGGGGTGGCGCCACATATGAAATCATGAAATAAGGTTGAAAAAGACGATGAATTTCTAGAAAAATGGACTAAAATGAAATCTTTACCTATTTCAGGCTTATATATTTATCATCCTTGAAGCAGATATACCTTTTTTCTTATTATACTTTCAAAAATAATACAGTTAGCAATATATTCACAGTAAACTTAATCGGACAATTGAAGTTTTAAAAATACACCTTTACAGGGCCGTTTATTGGGGTTCCTGGCTCTACTCATTTAATAGTGCCAGCAGGCATGGTGTCCTATGAACACTTATTCTTATTTTCATCAATTTATTAAAAACTCTATATTAAAAAAATCTCTGTGATATTTTGAAACAAATAAGTAAGGAAAGTCAAAGTCTAATGAATTAAGAAACTTACAAATTTTTAAATTTTCAAACAGCTCTTGATATAGTTCATAATTAAACAGACTAGCTAAACACAATGGTAAATACTTTTATGGTTTCTGCTGTAACAGTTCTACTTCTATATGTATTTCTATTTTTGGAACAGAACCATAATCCTCAAAGTACCAGCTAGTCAAGCCAGTGCTTTCAGTGCAAACTCTAGTCCAGAGGTCGGAAAATCTAAACTAGAAAATCTACGGGCAGCTTTAGCAGCTACTATCAACAAACAAGCACTCCAAGTTTTGACTCCTATAACAAGCCTGGCGACACCGCAACAACCAGTGCAGCTGGCACCACCAGGGACCTCTGTACAACTAAAGGTAAGTCCGCCATAAAGCATTCAGTCATTCAGTAGAAAATACTTAAAAAGGATAACAGGAATTTTCAAAAATATTGGATGGTATTACAGAGTACACTTTCTACTAAACGCCCAATTCCTTCCGAAAAATACATGTACATGTACTAACAAAGACAAATAAAAAACAGATACTGTGGATTGACTTGTTTTCGTGGATAGCAATTTTCGTGGATCGAGGAATGAATGTATTTTCATGGATATTTGATTTCATGGTTTTGCCATAGTCTGCATTCAAGCCTGTAGAAAATTTGTACATTACTTGAGCATTCAAATTTGTGGTTTATAGAAAATCTTATTACTTTTGACTTCTGTGGATTCATTTTTTGTTGTGTATACTAATATTCATGGATTAAGGAAAAAAGCACTTTTGTTATTTTGCCAAAGACTGCATTCAAGTTTCTACAAAAATTTGTACTTCATTGAACTTATATATTTTATTTTAACTATACCATGAAAATCCACAAAAATATCCCACGAATAATTATGAATCCACAGTATGTTTAAACAAAATAGTTTACAACTTTTCTTTAACTTACTTTACAAAAATACCGCTACATTGCAATTTTAACCATAAAAGCAACTTGTTCTTTGACATAGTACAGTAACCCTGTGTAAACGTAACCCTGTTTAAAACCAGAAACTGGTCTATACTGTATCAGATTAAACATTGAATATACTGTAATAATTTAATCCATGAAAACCAATTACATCTCCAATCTGAACAACATCTTCTGTCTCAAAGGAATCTTTTTGAGACAGGCTCACTATATTATTTCATGAATACAACATTATTGGAGGAAAATTTGTTTTCATCACAGGCTCCTGAGGTGTCCAATGCAAGACAAGTTATTTACGGAAGTTTAACACTAACACAGACAGCATCAGCTTATTTTCCTGCAGTAGAGTAAGTTTGAATTTGTATATCATGGTATAGTTAACTCTCAATACTCTATGAGGTATCTTAAGATGTTGACCATTATCTTGAAAACTATAATAGATAGATTAAAAGTTAGAAAAGCAAAAATGATCAGCAAGACAAGATGTACAAATAGGTCAGCTAACATGCAGATGATCTGTTGTCTTTTTATAGGAGTTATTGCCCTCAAAAGACGATTTTAACACTTTTTTGTAGTTACGACAATTGGAACATATCCATTGTCAGCCGTGAAACCGATACTCCATAACAGTCAACCAACTCGTGATGGTGTCCGTAAAATTTACAAAGGGATGATTTCAACTTCACCACTTGGTTTAATAGCTTCCTTGTGAGCAGCAACCCTGCATCAAGGAAATCATGATAGGAAATACAAGCCCTTGAATATGGTATCAACTTTGAGATATAAACTCTGTATGCAGGCGCTGCTGGAATGTTTCTACCATGTCTACATAGAAATCGAAAGTTCACAATTGGGAAGCTGAAATCATCTCTTTTGTTGTAAAGTTTTGTTTTCAACCAACCATTATTGTCAATTTCTAGATGTAAGTCAAGATATGAGGCAGACTTAACTGTATCTGTTGTATCCTTTATCTCAAGTTCAATGGGATAGATGTGTTCAACATAGTCACCAAATTCATTAATATATGAAAGAGGCGTGAAAGGACCTTTTTCTGGAATTTGGGATTGAGACGTTTTATTGAGGGAGTTTGGGAATAGTCAGTTATTTCATCAGGAATTTAGGAATTCAGGTTTAAAAATATCACGATGTAGGAGACACATTATTTTCACGTGAATTTGGGATTTTACATTTGTTTTCTCTGAAATTCAAGATGAGACCCTCTCCTACCCTGCCCGCAATGAAACAGGTCAATGGTTGATCAGGAAATAACATCTTGTTTCTTACAATATCTGATGATATCTTCAGAGGTAAGAAATATGTTACTTTGATTATACATGTTTCTGTTCCAGAGCTTTAGCTCGGGATTCAAAGGTGTTTGGTAAAAAAATTAATGAAGTATGGTACCGTGGATCAATTGAAACAATTCAAAATCGTCAGCAGCCTGTCAATGAGGTAAGTAATGATTTACAGCTCTTTTCATAATGCTAGCAAGACAAAGGTTTGTTTGACTTGCTTGCTTTGTTTGTATAAATGTTTGCTCAAGAATTGTAATTAAGATTGACATCTGCAAACAATATGAGTAGGCAGAATTAAACCTGTGTATAGGTAAATTTGATTATTTGATAATGTCCAATCAAATTTAAATATAATGTATACAAGTTTAAATCCGCCTTTTTATGTTGTTTTCAGATGTCAATCTTAATTACAATGCTTGAGCAAACATTGATACAAACAAAGCAAGCAAGCCAAACAAACCTTTGTCTTGCTAGCATTATGAAAAGAGCTGTAAATAGATTTCTGCTTTGATTTTAATACAATGAGAATTGCTGACCATGAAAAAGATAAGATAAAAATATTGATTGATAGATGCTTAACATCCGATAGCAAAATGCAGGCATTATTAGGACACTTTAACAGATTAGTGTGATATGTATATACATATATACAGTTTTATTTCTAGCTGATGTACTGGGTCAAATTATTGAACTTGCTAGCTCACAATGTTTTTTTTTATTCAGCCATGCTGGATCTTTGTGATCACTCTGTTTTTGGAGATGGTGCAGAATACTAAGTTGAAGACATGTCATGAAACTAATTATGTGTTTTTATGACTTGCAGAAACTTTCAATACCATCAAATTGCAAATATTTATAAAAAAAAAAAAAATCTGACAGAGTCTAAAATTGAAATATCAATATATATATCATTATTTGCATCAATATTGTGAAATTTCCTACCTGTGGGCAATAACAGGGCTTCCAAAACGGTCATATATTCCGGACTTGACCGAAACTTTCATAAAAAGACCGGCTGCTCTCAGCCTCAAACGGTCAAATAGAATTGGTGTGCCACATTTTGTTATTCAAGGCATTTTCATGAAACGGTCATTTCAATTTTTACCAACTATCGATCGATAAAAATGTCCGTTTGGGGCTTTGGGCATGTCCGTTTGGGCATTTTAGTTTATAATTGTGGCAATCTATTTCACAAAGATATTTCGGTCATAATTGGGTTTAATAAAACAGAAGCAGCATATTTCAGATACTTTGAAGTGTCTCAGTTAGTCTAATCCTCTGGGTACATAAATGTACGGCTTGGTCTTTAGCTTGTGTACATCAATAAAAAGTAGAAAAAACACGTTTTCTTTTATTTAAATAACAACAAGCTGTCAAACAATTATCCCTTCAATAAGTTATATTGAAGCCATAAATCATTCACTGATTACAGGTTTGTTACCTTTGATGAGGTGTCCTTAGCTTATCTTTATCAATAGAATTAATGATGCATAACAATGTACATAAATGTACATAAACGAGGTCAAACATGTAAGCGTGTATGGAACAACATCCTATTTAATTACGCTTTATAGATATTATTTTAAATGAGCATTCAGTTTTAAAAGTATCCTGATATTTAAAAGTTATTCTTCAAATAAGGATATTTATAAATGAATAAGTATGATATATATTATTTTATTTAACACTGTACATCGTGTTAAATACTGGGGTACTCTCAAGGGGAAAATTTACTAAAATATATAGGAAAAACCAATGGACAAATTTCAGTCAATAAATGATTTAACTAAGTTAAATGGTGCCGTGATCACTTCTAAATTATATCAAGAGAACAATGCCTGCTTCGAATTTATTCAGACAATTTTCCGATGTTATAGAGAAAGAGGTGATGTCCGACGTAAAGTTAAGTCCCGCCGTGGGAATTATGATCGACTAAGGTGTAGTCTAGGTATTGACGCTTTAGATCAACTTATGAGGATAAGCTTAGTAGGTGTAGATGACTTTGACCCTGTTCCTGCTATCCGCAAATGGCAATCCGTTCGTAACCGCCATGTTTATCAGAACAATGCATTTAGCAAGCTCATGAATGTAAAATCTTTAATTAGACTAAATGAACTCTAATCTTGTGCTGTGATCTGTGCTTCTTTTCAATGTGCTCATTGTAATATTTATTGCGTGTGTTTGTCAGCATTGTGCTCTTCTGACATTTTATTGTTGTTATATGCTTACATAAAATATCATGTTGTTATTCATTAAATTATTTATCAACTGAGTATGTTTTTATTTATTCCTTATTTTCTAAATCAGGTTGGGAAATTGTACAAAGAAAAATGTTATCACTGTTCAGTAGATTTTACACGGTTTAAAACAATATCCTTCATCGGGCCTCCTCAATGTTATCTATAAATACCGCATCAGTTGTAAAAGTCACGTGGTCAGGTAATCAATACACAAAAAGAAAAGTATCACGTGTATTGATGATCAAGTTGTACTGCAATTAAAGCCAACATCAACAGTTTCAAATAAGATGGCCTTAATTTACAAAGTGTTAAGTACTCACAGAGAGAAGATAGATTATATAAACAGAAACAAAAACATGAGAACAGTCAGGTACTGAAGCTGATTGATGCAATGATGGTTACTGTATTACGATACACAGAAAAATGACACAATACCGAGGATAATATTTTATTTATTTTTAGAATGAAGAAAAGAAAACAGTTATAAATAATTTTATTGCATATAACACTACTAATTATTTAGACACATATATCAATTTATGCATCCTCTCAGTTACATTTAAGTATCCAGCTGATCATTGACCGTCAAAAATATTTCTTTGAAAAATGTCCGGCTGTCGTCAGGAAATTTTGGAAGCCCTGCAATAACATAGAAATTTAACAGTAAGATTGGAAATGAAAAGAGAAAAAAATATTGAAAAAGTATGGTCAGAAAGAATATCAGACTAGCTATGAATATGGCTGGATCACAACATCCACGATGCTTTGATTTAACTTAGGGCATCAGTGTACTTTGACATGAATTTTGAATTTAGATTTTTCTCTCACTCCTAAATATTGTGTGCTTAGTAAACTAGTATAGCTGTTACCAATTTGAAAACTTTTTATGCCACTTCATAGGCGACGGGGGCATTAAGTGTTACCCTTGACCTTCTGTCTTTCCCTCCCATTTTCATATGTTTGAAGTGGGGGCATTCATGTCCTCAGACACATTCTTCTTTTATTTTTTTTTAAATGATATATATCATGTATATTGATTAAGAGTTTCTATTATAATTTTTTTTAATTCAAAACAGTAATACTTCATGCATTCATCAAGTTGAAAGTCAGCCAATGGAAACAATTGAATTTTTGTACGTGTAGATTACCTTGTGTTACTATTTTTATGTTTTTATTGATTTTTTAGTCATATTTAATTATTTTTCTGTTATTTTTAGAGAAAATATATGATCAAGTTTGATGGGAAAGGAAGAAGGCCACTGTCTGCCAGGGAAATAGCTTTCAGAGATCATATTAACATAACTGTAGCTGTGGGTACCAGAATAGTAGGTAAGACAGGGAATCAATAAAGGGAAGTAATCAACTCCAAGTTTTCAACCCAGAGCCTGCAAACCTTTTCAAGCAAAATATTGGTTCAAAGTTATGCAATGAGTATTTGTCACCTATATTTTTATGCCCCAGAAGTAGGCGACAGGGGCATTAAGTGTTACCCTTGATTGTTTATCCTTCCGTCTTTGTCTTTCCATCCTTCTGTCTTTCCGTCCGCTCATCCCATTTTTGTTTGTTTGAAACTTGAGCAGGGGCATTCATGTCCTCAGGCACATTTTCTTTTATTTTGCTATATATTTCATATTAAACTAAGTTTTTTCAAAAATTTATTTTGAAAGCATTTATATATTAATAGTTGGATTTTAACAAACCATATGTTGAAATATACAGAATTGTCTGAAGTATCTTTGTTTATTTGTTCATAGTTTTTCTTCAGATGTTTTTGTTTTCTCCTGATGTGGACATGTATAATAATATTTTACATTGTAATTTGGTGGAAATATACAGCATATTTCTGCACAAAGAGAAATCAGAGTTCGCGAAAACTATTTTGACCCGTCGGTCATGGGACCGACAAAGCATGATTATTTGTCAGTCCTACAAAATTTTTGCCAGTCCTACAAAATCTGTCAATTTTATTCTGAAATAAAATCAATAACATATTTTATCGAAAAATAACTTTATTAATATTAGTTTTATTCTTCGCACCCACAGGCAAATTAACAATGAAGGACCAGTTCAGGTCTTCTGATTGTTCTTATTTAAAGTCATCTTCACTATCCATTTCATCATCTGAATCACTTTCTCGGCTGTTACAGTATTTGTTTGCTCCATTGTAGGGTTCAATCGCTGATTGTTTGCCAGGGATGGCTCTATGAACAAATTTAGTAGGCCACGTGTAGATGGCCGCTTTGGTTTGTTTATTAAATCCGTAAACCAGTACCGGATATTGGCAGCGGGTACATCTGATAACCAATGTAAACACTTATTTGAAACAGTTGCGGTACTTTTAATAACTGATGTAAAAAAGTGCCGAAATATGCACTACAAAGGCCGTTTTTACATCGGTCATCGGGACCGGCACTAGCCTTCAAAATACTGGTCCGAGCCTCATTTTGACAGACAGGACCGACAGGACCGACCATTTTTGCGAACTCTGAGAAATACTTGTGTATATCATCAGACAATGAAAATGCTTCTAAACAAACATATAGTAAAAAAAAAATGTGACAATTCTGCTTCTGTCAATACAACATTCACGTTCATTAAATTCATTCAAAAAATGAACTCACAATAACTTTTGGAAAAATCATAGTTTTATATAAAATACATAACACAACCTTCTTGGTGATGAGTACTTACAGGTATTGAAAATGTATGCCTCACTTGGAGAAGTTTTGATAATTTTATTGAAGATTATAAGCTAAGTCAAGTCTTCAGCAGCATTTGATGGAGGGCCCAAATTTTTCAAAGTGTCTGTATTAGCTTACACTCCTTTGAGACTTTAGTTTCTCATAGTTTCTCTTACTTTTAGAAACGAATTGATATCAGTTTTCAAATTAAGTATTCAAATAGATACCTCTATCAAATTCTAGTGTCATCACCACTAAAATGGCAATTCAATTACTTACCATAAGGCAAGGGCCTGTCAAAAGAAGACCAAAAATGACCATATTTCTATTCCCCTGTCACCCTTAGGGTATCAAACAATAGAAATTTATTTAGTTTTAGTTTTAGTTTTACAAAGTCAAGTAAAGTACAACCACAAATGTTGATTTTTTATAAGGAAATTAATTTTCAATGGTATTTTCAAATGTTCTGTATTTACATGTCATGAAAAGCTCCTGCAGAAATGAGATTTATTTTCACTTTACCTTAATACTGTATTAAGAGAATGTAGACACTTGCGGTTGAAAAAAAAAACTAAAATTTATCCTTGAAATGCACTTATATAATGTCCTAATTTTAGTAATGAATAAAATGATTGATAGTTTGTTACACTTAACTGCAAATTTGTTTTTTCAGCCTTGTACAGAGATGAAGAGTCTACTGCGTCTTTCTATGCTGGCATCATTGCTGAAACACCAAATGGCAGGAATCAGTTCAGGTATTGTATTATATCCAGCCATTTCTAACTTGTAATAAGAAAAAGATAAAGGTACAATTTGGGGCAATGATAACACCATGACCAAAAGAAAAAAAGATATTTCCCCAAAACTTCCAAAGAAAACTAGATTGAGCAAGATTAAACCTGCTTTAAAACTGAAAATTATAAAGTAATCCATAAAAAAATATGCAAATTTCAGGGAAAATTTGATGAAATCTAATTAGAGTACAAGCATCACCCAAAATCATTTTTTGCTGGTGAATATATAAACACAAAAAATACAATCCGGGTAAAAATTCTTTTCGGCAACAGTTGTTCTTATTATTTCTACACATGTCATATGATCATTTATCATGTAAAATGGGAAGTCCATTTAAAATTGGGTAAATCCAGATTTATTTTTAAATTGGAACATCTTACTTAAAATGGTATGTCCTAAAATAATCCAGTCCATTTAAAGATCTAGGGACATCTTACTTAAAATGGTATGTCCCAAAATAACCCAGTCCATTTTACAATAGGGACGTCTTACTTGAAAACGGTTCATTCCATTTTCGTTTTGTAAGTGAATACTTTTCTTTTAATCAGTCTATCAGCCAGTGATTAAGAAATTAATAGCACTATAAAGAGTTTGATTACTATTTAGTTTATATTGAACAATTTTCCTTTATATAACAGATTTTTTATAAATGTAGACTTGTGTTCACTTTTAAATAGTGTTTTTTTTCTGAGATCCATTGAATTATCACATGAACAGTGAATTTATATCATTGATTACATCTCTGCTGAAAAGTTTTCAAATGTAGAAACTATATTGTAAATTACAAAAAATGTGAAATATATTTTGATATTAAAGCTTCTCAATTTAAGTACACATGGCACCAATGCACTTCGAAAAAGGTACATTGTTAGGCTTTATTTGGCCTGATTACTGAAATTATAAAAATATAATGATACTACAAACTAATCACATTTTGTATGTGTTTTGACTGTGACCTCAGAAACATTTTAATGAGAATTTTCTGGTTTTCATAAAATATATGCGAATTTTAGGAATAATTGGGCTAAATCTACATAGAGTACAAGCATCATCCAAAATCATTTTTTGCTGGTGAATATATAACAAAAAACACTCTATGTAAAAATTGTTTTTGGCAACAGTTGTTCTTATTATTTCTTCTCATTTCTCATGTAATAGGGAAGTCCATTTTAAATTGGGTAAATCCAGATTTATTTTTAAATGGGGACATCTTACTTAAAATGATATGTCCCAAAATAATTCAGTCCATTTAAAAATCTAGAGACATCTTACTGAAAATGGTATGTCCCAAAATAACCCAGTCCATTTTACAATAGGGACGTCTTACTTTAAAACGGTTCATTCCATTTTCATTTTGTAAGTGAATACTGTTCTTTTATAGTAATCCTTCTATCAGCCAGTGATTAAGAAATAAATAGCACTATAAAGAGTTTGATTACTATTTAGTTTATATTGAACAATTTTCCTTGATGAAAGATTCTTCAAACATGAAGATTTGTGTTCACTCTAAAAGTGTTTTTTTTTTTCTGAGATCTGTTGAATTATATCACATGTAAAGTGAATTAATATCATTGATTACATCTCTGCTGAAAAGTTTTAAAATGCACAAACTATTTTATAAATGCAAAAAATGTGCAATATATCTTCTCAATTTAAGTACACATGGCATTAATGCACTTTGAAAAAAATGCATTTTTTGGCTTTCAAAATCACTGAAAATTTAAAAAAATTAATGATACCATCGCAAATTACATTTTATATGTGTTTTGACTGTGACCTCAGAAACGTTTTGATGAGAATTTTTACTTTTTCATAAAATGTACTCGAATTTCAGGAATAATTTGGCTAAATCTACATAGAGTTCAAGCATCATTCAAAATCATTTTTTTCTGGTGAATATATAACAAAAAACACACTCTTGGTAAAAATTGTTTTTGGCAACAGTTGTTCTTATTATTTCTACACATGGGATCATTTCTCATGTAATAGGGAAGTGCATTTAAAATTGGGTAATTCAAGATTTATTTTTAAATGGGGGCATCTTACTTGAAATTGTATGTTCCAAAAACATATCAGATTGTTTAAGAATCTTAGATATATCTTCACTTTTAAATAGATCCATTTAATTTTCACATGTACAGTGAATTTATATCATTGATTACATCTGTGCTGAAAAGTTTTCAAATGTAGAAACTATTTTATGAATACAAAAAAATGTGTATATTTTGATGTAAAAGCTTATTGGTCGTTCTACTGTCTGTATCACTCTGCTCAGCTCTTAATAAAATTGCATATCACGGCCTTGTGACGTCAAATACGTTGACCTGGCATTAATAACTTTGACCCGGACTTATCACCAACGTCATTATTCATGAACCGACATTGATAAGTTTGACCCGAACTTATCAAGTCCTTCGGTTTGCTGGTGAAACAAAGAAAACACATGTTTCTAACATGCAAAATACACAAAGACAACCTGATAATCGGTACTTCTCTGACAATTGGGTACACACTTTGAAAATAGAAAAGCTACCTGAGTCAGCAGTTTTAATATTTATCTTAGAATTTTATGAAGAAAAGTATCATATGCTTCAACTCTCAAGATATTCAAATTCAAATTCTTTGTTATCTTTAAGCCTTACAGCTCATCAGAATAATCAAATACATGTACAGTGTATACATATGGCATATTACAAACAATATTAACAATATGCATAATTAACAATAGGTGACGTCAGAAGTTTCATCAATACAAAATATCTTTTATTACAATAAACTGTTTCTTAATTTAAAAGAGAAATGTATATACTTTCCTAAGTTACAAAGCTGTTTTGTGTTTTCACCGGACAATAGTTCTATTAACTTAAAAGTTGATGGCCTAGACCAGTAATATATTTTTATATATTTTTTTCGCAAATCAGTATATCTACTACATTGAAGGATGATATGAAATTCATCCTCTATTACTCCTAAATCACAAAAAATACAAATAATATCAGTGTTATTTTTAGATTTGAAATTATCCTTTGAATACCTTTCCTTAAAAACCCAATTTGTTGAACGAAAAGGCATACCAATTCTAGTTCAACGCATAGGAATACATGGACGGTGGAGTATACATGGAGGAAGTGTGGCACCATTCATTAAAATCCAAATAACTTCTTTTTAACCATTATTAATTTTTCTATAAGTACTTTTCTTTTTGCTTAAAAGTTATCAAATTATTGCTCAAATATTGTTTTTGTACATAGTATAACGCAATGAAGCACAGGACATTTTGTCTTAATGGCTAAAAAGTTTCCTACCGAAGGATGGGGTTCTCTTCACGGGCACTCCAGCTTCCTCCACCAATAAAAAGTGGCCGCCATGAAATAGCACAATAGTGCTGAAAGTGGCGTTAAACACCAATCAATCACTCAATCTTAATGTCTAATTATTGTAAACCAACTTGTTTTCGTACGCAATTCATATAGAAAGATTACTCCTTGTTCCCAAAACATGATTTCAGTTGTGATTTTCCTTTACAAGATTTGTGCAATCACATTAATAATTAGAACTCACATTTTTACCAGTAATCAGTGATTGGCAATAATAAATTCATGCATTTATTTTTGAATTTACAGTAGTTTCTTGACATTTGCTTAGAAAACAACAATGTGTTATAAGTTATTCTGAAAATCTCTCACAAAATATATTCCTCAGGTTGAACTGTCTGATTTGGGGTAATTTTTTTAAAACTTACATTTGTATAAGGTACAATCCTCTTATTAAAACAGTCACATATGAGCAATATTGTTGACATGAACTAACCTAGGATAAAGGGGGGTTCCAACTATATGTCCGCAATCAAATGCATTGATCGTCAAAAAAAAAGGGGGGTACCAAACCCCAGAGCCCCCCCCCCCCCTGGATCCGCCACTGTAAGTAGTATTAATTATTATTTGTGGAGTATAAATTTATAAAGGCTTGTATAAACAGACTTGGAAAAACCACTAAAATCACATATTCACGAAAATACAAGTTTTCCTCAATCCACGAAGATTGGTACCCACAAAAATAAAGCATCCATAGTAAATGGTTTGTGTTGCAACAGTTGATTTTTTTTCAGATACTTGGTATTCTTTGATGATGGCTATGCTCAATATTCTACTAAAGAAGAAATTCACAAAGTCGTTGATCAGAGTATGTATGTAAAATATTTATGTATGTTGGAATCAGAATTTTCAATAAGTAGTGGTCTGAAGGTTTTGACCACAATAATTTTGCAAAGTACAGACACAATTTTGGTATTTTGCAATAGAAATAATAGTGAGGACCAGCAGGTTTTCTTCAAGAACCACCATGGAAAAAAAAAGATTTAGAAAACCCTGTGAAATAAGGTGTTGTGACTCATTTGGATATGAACTAGCACCTTTCAAAAACCTTTGGAACAATCATGTGGTTACTGGTAAATTCAGAAATTATTGCGTGCATTTATTATTGCGATTTTGTCATTTTAGACTAAAATGCGATTTTAATTTTTGCGATATTGAGAAAAATCGTGTTAAATTCATTTTAAAAATTTCAAAATGCGAGTTTAAATTATTGCGATTATAACCCTGTTGCATTTTTCGCAATAATAAAAACATCGCAATAATTTCTGAATTTACAGTATATGATTGATATGATTTGAATAAAATCTCAAATTTTAACCATGTATGTTATGCAGACCTGCTAACCTTAACAATTTATGAGGGATTTCCCCCATGAGATGGGTTGACCTGAATTTTGAAAGTCTTTATTATATAAACTAAATCCCCTAAAAAACAAGCATTCAAATGAGTTAAAAGGGTATTTAAGCATATACATACTCATTCAAACAATATAGTAGCAGATTAAAAACGCTTATTGCAATATACATATAAGAGGAGCATTAGGTCCTCTTGCTCTTAAAATCCCCAATGGAGATTTTGAAAAGTTGGCAGGTATGGTTATAGGTTGGATTGATTTTTAGGATTCTGGCTATGCTCATATTTGAACAAGAGCCCGGGCCCTGAAGCAGTATAAATTATTGTGTACAGGTATTGTAATTTAGAGAGTTGATTTTTATACAATCCAGATTTTAATGATTTTATGTCAGGATAGTGACTTTCAATATATGATGTCTAACCATTAACTGATATTTTATGAATGTCTCATGCATTTTTGTGTGATTTGTCTTGTAAAATAACCAATTTAATAGTCTTATAAGAAATGGTTACTGTTTGTTTTTACAAAAGAGAATAGAAACAATAAACTTTTGAGTTAAAATACATTGTAGTTTGATGAATATTTTTGTTTTTTAGGTATAAATGTATGGGAAGATGTTCATCAAGACTCTCAAGAATTTATCAAAGAATATCTTAAGCAGTATCCTGAGGTATGAGACTTTTTTAAGGGTAATAATGATCATGAAAATGACAACCATTTTACGTCTTTTGAAAAAATTAGACAAATATTTTTAATGGAAAAACAAAAATATCAATGTAGAGACTAGAGCAGCAATAAAAATTTCAGTTTTTGGAACAAGTCAATTATGATATGCATGAAACTCTTAAATCACTTTGTGATATGCTCAATTAGATACACAATAAACCATTAGGCAGAATAAAGGTGCTACAATATGTTTTTAATACAAGAGTGCAGGGACAGCGCTGGGCTTCGCAATGTCGCAATTTGCAATATTTTATTTCATCTGGCGACAAAATACGGCTGCTGGCTATATTTCTGGAGCCAACATTTTACCATGTCAAAATTTTTATTTCTTGACTGCAACAGTAAAATTATCGATCGTCATTTAAATTGGTAAAAGTAAAAAATTGGTTGTACGAAATTTTACCTGGCGACAAATTTATGACTGTTTACGACCCCAAGTTAATCAACGGTTAAAACAGGTGTCATAATCTGTTGTTACAGGTAATCGGCTTATCCGATGTTTCATTAATGATCATCAACATTAATTCATTCAAATATTCAGGCAGCATTTGTCATTTCGTAATGCATTGAAGAAATTTTCATATGGCAACACAATTTGCATTGCTTACCCTAGTTTCATGATGAAAACGTAATTGACAGAAAGAGGAAAACCATAATAAATAAACTTGTTAAAAACATCCTTTTGCTTGTATTCCGTAAAAAAAATGGTTAATTCAGACGTAATTTGTCTTTGTTTGCCCTCACCAAGGATCCAGAAATTTTTCCAGACAATTTCGGTCATTTTGAGATGTTTGAAAAGTTGGGGCCTCTTTTCAAATTGTCGATATCAACTTGACTATATTCATAGCATCAACGAACATAACGAACTTGTATTGCTGTTTCATCGCATTTACTAAGTAAATATCTTACCATTACCATGAAGGACAGTTTAGGGAAGGCAACAGTCTAAAATTGAAATGATTTTAATGACTCAAAATGGTTAATTTCTCAGACATTGCTACCTTACGTTTCTTTCGATTTGACAAAAGTTAAAACCGGAAGTTTGCGATATTTTAAAGTACGAATAATTCCGGATTCATTTCCGGGATTTGTTTTGTTTATCAAACTAACATGAAATCACCGGCTTTTTATGGCTTTTTTATTTTATTACCTTTAAAAGTGTTTGAATATAACAGATAATAGTTGCTCTCGTTTAATTTAGCATGAAATCAATATGCATTTTACGATTAAATATTAAATTTGCTGAAGACAATTTCACGCATGCGTATTACATAGTAAATAAAGCACATGTGTTACTCATGAAAAAATACTTTTTTCTACATTAATTTAGATTTAATTTTTAAATCAGAATTGATGACTGTCTTTGATGAAAAGTAAATAAATAATGAATACACTTGTCAGGGAACTTCAATGTTTTAAAGATATTATTCTGAGCTTGTGATCACTGTCAGGTGTGAATTAAAACCACAGGTAAAAAGTGATTAGCGATCATTAGCCAATGTTTGCCGGAGGCATTGATATAGCTATTAGGAGGGCCCTCAGGATTATCAAACTACTGTAGTGGCAGTTTTATTACAGGAAAGGGATTATAAACAAAAACAAGTGATACCAAGTGCAAAATGGCGATTAAGAAATCCGATTTCAAACATTGAGTCAATGAAATGACCGAAATTACTTCTGTAAAAAAATAAAATTTGTCCTAAATCCCAATTACTCGTTTAGGACAAATAGTTTCATCTTAGGACATGACTGGCAAATATGACCGTTTCCGGACCCTTGGCCCTCACTATTGATATGAAAATAACAAAACAGGCCGCCATTGATTGCTTCTACAGAGTACTGTGTATAATCCTCCGTAGAAGGAGCACACCTGAATAAAGAAAGATAACTCTATTTTTTTCCCCTGGTATTGAGATACCTTTTCTAGATATGTTTATAATAGGTTTAGGAGGTCTTTTGAGTTATGGACACAGTTAAGAGGCTCTTGGTAGCAAGGTGGGTTAGGTGCTTGGGTCATCATTTTCTGTATTCTTTATTTTTTATACAAATTTTCTCTATTCTGTATATTTAATCACTTTCTCTTTTCTACATTAATTGCCCATTTTTTTCTATTCTTTATTTTTTAATTAAAACAAATTTTCTGTATTCTGTAGAGGAACACTGATCAATAGAGGCATTATATAAGTCCCATTAGTCCCTGTTTGGAGACATACACAATCAAATAAAAACATAAAATAACAGGGCAATACAATACATGACGAATCATAACTTAAATTTAAATTATGTACAGTGCATAAGAAATTTAAAGTGAACATGGTTTCAATTTTGATAGAGGAAATTAAGACTCTAGCTGGCTCTAATGTTGGCTCCAAGTTTTTAAAACTGGCGACAAAATATAGCAGCTGTCGATTTTTCTGGCTCCAACTTTTTTGGAGCCAGAGCAGCCCCTGAAGTGGCTTATTTTTTTGTTTATTAGAAGCATCTGGGCTTTTCCATTATAACATACATGGTACCAAGGAAAGGCACTTTGAAGTTCCAAAGGGGTCAAATGCAGTAAAGGAACTTTGAAGTTCCAAAGGGGTCAAATGCAGTAAAGGAACTTTGAAGTTCCAAAGGGGTAAAATACAGTAAAAATGTAAAATTCTACATTTCCCACTATAAGTGGTTAGACTTTATGATAGTGCCTTCCCTGGTTGCCATGTTTGTTTAAATGGAACAGCCCTCGGATGCAATACAAATTCTTTTGACTTTTTGTACATGATTCTATTAGGATCTTAATATTTTATGACATCCTGTTGTTTACCTTCCATTTATTTGTATGTAGGCCCTATACTTGGGAATAAAAAGGACCTACGTCCATAAATCTCCATTAAACAATGACTGCCATAAATTATTGAAAAATTTGTTCTCGGCAAATGATTGGTCGAAATTTAATTATGACGTCAAATTTTCTTGGTTTCTTCTGAATTTTCCTATTGTGACGTCATGAAAAAAGGCGACCATGCCTGATGACGTCACATATAAAGAACACAACTTTCTGCAAATCTTTGAAAAGGAAGGATAAGAATCATCAGAGAAATAGATTCCACCACTATAACTCGTGTATTACGATATTTCTCTACTCTCAACAGTTAAATTTAAAGTATTTAAAAAGCTTGGCAAGCCAAGCTCTTTAAATATTAAAATTTAACTGTCTCGAGTGGAGAAATATCGTAACACACTTGTTGCAGTGGTGAAATCTATATTTAACTTCTATGTCATTTGTTCTCTGGTGGAGAGTTTTCTCATTGGCAATTATATAACATCTTCTTATTTTTATATCAATCTTTGACACAGCAACCCATCAATGAACAAAATCAGATCAGTTAACTACTTATTTTATTTGAATATTTACTTAGTTGAATTTTAAGGTGGTTTGTATCAATATAGGACTACATTGAGATTTTTTAATCAAAGGAAAGCATAAGTTAGAGAAAAATGTTTATTTCAAATTTTCTTGTAAAATTTCAGCGTCCCATGGTTAGACTGCACAAAGGACAACAAGTTAAAACAGAATGGAATGGGAAATGGTATGTCATTACTTTATTACTGTAAATTAGGAGATTATTGTGAGGTTTTATTAATGCTAATAATGTGACAGGTAGAGTATTGCAATAATAAGACCTCACATTCTCATATCTGATGCATATATCTGTAAGTTTTATGCAGATTTTCCTGAAATCGAAATAATTTATATCCAATTTTTGTCCATTTTTCAAAATTCGCAATGATAAATGCATGCAATAATTTCTGAATTTACAGTATAATACAGTAGACTCCACCTAATCGGATATCGGCTAAACGAATATATCGGCTATTGTAATATTATTTCAAAACACCAAACCCTTCCCTATATGTTTAATGTTAATTTCATCGGGTAATCGAATATCGGATATAAGAATATATCGGCAAATCGGATAAGAATATTCAGGTAATTTTGTTCAAAACCATGCACAATCGGATATTTTCAATGTTTTTCTGACAGGAAATGAACCCGGAAGTTACGAATTAACAATCCTGCAGACAAGAAGATTTCGTTTTTACTAAATAAAAAGGAACTATTTCTTAATAAATTGTTGTCTTTATTCATTGTCCTCCTTTATCATGTGAATTAGATGCCCTTTTACTTCAAATGGTTTGAATTTACAAGACTCGTCAGTTGACAAGAGCAGTACGATGCTGTTTGGGGAATTTTGATAAAACTCTAAATGCTCACACAACCAGAAATATAATGTAAACTGAATGTACCTCATTCTGAATAATTTATTGCAATATAAATATAAATCCCTTTTGACAAGAGAAATCTGACTTTTGTCAGAAATATTTTTTTCACATGTGCAAAAGTAACCACATGTCATGGCCGCCATTTTGGTTTGTTTACAAATTTGTGAGGAAGCCTCTAGAACCATGACCTAAACATAAATAGTCTTCAGAAAATGTAAACTTTATACAATTATATTTTATCAATCATGAATATTTTCATCAATTTAAATTTGATTATTTAAAGAAATCAAATTATAACAAATACGATTTTAGTTTGGAGATTCTACACAAACATGCTTTGATCTATTTATAGCCAAATTAGTTTACCTGTGTGATAATGTAAATAATGGATATTAATTTGTTTTCAAAACAAATAAAGACACAAACTATGGAGGGTGGATAATAATTCACATTTTTCAGGACATTTAATTTATTTTAATAAATATAGGATTTAAAAACTGCAAACAAATTTCATCATGTAATCAGCTGAAATCTTTTTAAAAAACATCGTGGTGATGTAACTGATAAAAATCACTCCATCAATCCTCCAGCCCTTTCACATATTTAGCAATTGTCAGGGTTAGTAACATCTCAGGATTAGATCTACTCATTATTGCAGAATATTCAATGAATATGCATTCATCGTCTAATTGAATATATCGGATAATCGGATATTTTTAGCTGACATTTTGGGTATCCGATTTGCCGGAGTCTACTGTACATGTTAAAATGCCAGATTTTGATTGGTTAAAACAAAATGGAATGGGAAATGGTATGTCATTACTTTATTACTGTAAATTAGGAGATTATTGTGAGGTTTTATTAATGCTAATAATGTGACAGGGTGAGTATTGCAATAATAAGACCTCACATTCTCATATCTGATGCATATATCTGTAAGTTTTATGCAGATTTTCCTGAAATCGAAATAATTTATATCCAATTTTTGTCCATTTTTCAAAATTCGCAATGATAAATGCATGCAATAATTTCTGAATTTACAGTATAATACATGTTAAAATGCCAGATTTTGATTGGTTAAAACAAAATGGAATGGGAAATGGTATGTCATTACTTTATTACTGTAAATTAGGAGATTATTGTGAGGTTTTATTAATGCTAATAATGTGACAGGGTGAGTATTGCAATAATAAGACCTCACATTCTCATATCTGATGCATATATCTGTAAGTTTTATGCAGATTTTCATGAAATCGAAATAATTTATATCCAATTTTTGTCCATTCTTCAAAATTCGCAATGATAAATGCATGCAATAATTTCTGAATTTACAGTATAATACTTCATGTTAAAATGCCAGATTTTGATTGGTTTTATCAAGGGAGATAATTAGGACCCCGCCGATTGGCGGATGCCCTATAGTGATCAGTCTGTCTGTCCGTATGTATGTCCGTCCGTCTGTCTGTTCGTCCGTAACAAATTGTGTTCGCTCTATGTCTAGAGAACCGTTATGATTTCAAAGTTTATACTTGACATGTATATTAACCAACACCAGAGGGTGTGTCATAATGTATGTACAACTTCCTAGGTCAAAGGTCAAGGTCAAAAACTTTGGTTTTAGTTGACAACCCCATGTCCTATGGTAAAGATCGTGTCCGCTCTATATCTTGAGAACCGTTATGATTTCAAAGTTTATACTTGACATGTATATAAACCAACACCAGAGGGTGTGTCATAATGTATATACAACTTCCTAGGTCAAAGGTCAAGGTCAAAAACTTTGGTTTTAGTTGACAACCCCATGTCCTATGGTAAAGATCGTGTTCGCTCTATATCTTGAGAACCATTATGATTTCAAAGTTTATACTTGACAGGTATATAAACCAACACCAGAGGGTGTGTCATAATTTATGTACAACTTCCTAGGTCAAAGGTCAAGGTCAAAAACTTTGATTTTAGTTGACAACCCCACGTCCTATGATAAAGATTGTGTCCGCTCAATATCATGAGAACCGTTATGATTTCAAAGTTTATACTTGACATGTAAATAAACCAACACCAGAGGGTGTGTCATAATTTATGTACAACTTCCTAGGTCAAAAGTCAAGGTCATAAACTTTGGTTTCATTTGACAACCCTATGTCCAATGATAAAGATACAAATTTTTTACCACACATTATTCACAGCGGGGCCCACAGAGATGGCTCCCATCTCAATGATATCTAGTTTACTCTATCCCATGGCTTATACTCTATTACCCTTCAAGGAAACACTTAATCAATTGTTCGCTTTATCAAATAGGGATGGTTTTTATGTATTTACAAGACATCATAGTTAATTACTCTCAATATGAAATTAAAAAGATGAAATTAAAAAGACAATAATAACATAAAATTCATTATAACAAATTAAATAATAAATAGTGGAGAGGGTTTATAGAGCAGATTGTAACCTTTGAAAAAAAAAAACATTTTCAACCTATAGGCTTCACCTTGGTTGACAATGTTTTTCTCGTTTAACAATCTTTCTTTCTCACCCTCTCAGCTATGTGTTATTTATATAAACAGGTTGCAGACCTATTGGAACATAATCTGAAGTCAGAAATATTTTTACATTGTTTCCCCTTCAAAATATTTGATTGATAGGGGAAATAAGAAATGCTAAGTTGCTAAAAATAATCGAAGCAAGGTGGAAATTAATTTTTTTGGAAAAAGATAAATTTGAATTTAATGCTTGGGATTGAAATTTGACAAATATTGATCCTGGCATCCTTAATTGCTAAAGGGTGATGTTATGATGGCAACAATGTGCAGTATAGATTTTACATTCTCATAATTTTATGTTAATGGGGTTTGTCAAAAGAAACTGGTGTGGTCTTGTGGTCACCTCAAGTCAGGAGGTTGTGGGTTCAATCAGTGACAGAGTCAATCCAAAGACTTGAAAATAAGCTTCTCCGCTATTGTGCTAAGCACTTGACATTTAGATGTATGATAAAAAAAATCTGGTCAGCAAGGTGTCAGAATAATGTGTTTGGGTTGGGTGACATGTTTACCTGCTGACTGTCATGTTGTGAACCAGCATGTTAAGGATGTTTGCTACTCTTGTTTTTGACTTTTTGTCAGATATTCGAAATCCTCTAGTTTTATCCATGTTGTGCCAATAAAACAATTTTCCCGCTAACCCCTACTTTTCTTTTCATAATCTTATTACATATAGTTAAAAAAGCCTTTTTTGAAAATTATATAAAATCCTTGTTATTTTTTCATAGTTTTTGACAGAAAAAAGGTGCCTATGTTACATGTATGAAAAATCTAGAGAATTGTTTACCGCCAAATTTTCAATGGCTTATTTCTTAAAAACAACCACACTGACCCTTAAATTTTTTCAGCTTATTTAGTTCCTTTATTCATATACTTTCAATTTATAACAGTCTCTTCAAGATCTTGTTATCCTGAAGCAGAGTAGCAAACATCCTTAAAATCTGGCTCAAGGTTTTGGTTTGATAAAAAGCAGGGCAAATTTCACTGGTTAATGATATAATGAACAGAACAGAAAGTAGAAACAAGCACCAAATCCTTGTAAATAAACCATGTAAAAAGGATCTTATTTCAATCAAATTGTTTTGACCATAAACTTTAAATCTTGTCATGTTCAATAATGAATTTTAATTGTAAATCATGTCAGAGCTCTTTCCTTAAACCTTAAAATGTAGATAGTTTGTTAACCTTATTCACTTGAAATTTCTATCTGGCCTGGCCATTTATATATATACAAAATGTTTAATAAGATAGTGCTAAAAATATGGTCTTGAACATTTTATTTTTATTACTTTTTGGCAGAGAAAATCCTTGTAAAGTTCTTCCAAAGTACTGGAATGAAATATCTGCATTAATCTGATTTTTATCACAAATTTTATGCTGTATGGTGTAAGATCAAGATATTATATGGTGTATGCTGTAAGATCAAGATATTATACAATTCTTTTGAATATTTTTAGTTTTTTAATAGTATACATTGAAGGAAAGTTTATAAGTTGAAATAATTTTTTTTTTATTTCAAGTAATTGTTTTTCCCCCTTAAAGTATGAACACTAATAATGGATAAATTATAAAAATTTAAATCATACTAAATTAGCCGATTCTGACATCCCTGTGTTATCTCTTAATTTAGTAAATAGTGAAAGTGCATTATATTTGTCTTTTTATGCCCAACCTACGATAGTAAAGGGGCATTATGTTTTTCGGTCTGTGCGTCCGTTTGTTCGTTCCTCCGTCCGTCCGTCCATCTGTCCCACTTCAGGTTAAAGTTTTTGGTCAAGGTAGTTTTTTGATGAAGTTGAAGTCCAATCAACTTGAAACTTAGTACACAGGTTCCCTATGATATGATCTTTCTAATTTTAATGCCAAATTAGAGTTGTGACCCCAATTTCAAGGTCCACTGAACTTAGAAAATGATAGTGCGAATGGGGCATCCATGTACTATGGACACATTCTTGTTTCAAGGATATTTTGATAAGAGAAAAAAAAAACTGTATAAGCTATTTCCTCTGTATTTACATTGAGAATTCTTTAACAGATAAATCGTATGATAAGTTATGTTATGTACTCAATATTAACACATTTTCCCAATTTAATATATTTCTAGGTGGACAGCAAAAGTTGTTGAAGTAGATGCCAGCCTTGTTAAAATGTTTTTCCTTGCTGACAAAAGAGAAGAACTTATTTACAGAGGATCAACCCGATTGGAACCTCTATACTCTGCACTGGTAAGTTTAAAGTACATTTTTCTGATTAGTCATCAACCTTCATATATCTTAGTACAAAGATATATCCTGGAAATAAATACCGTGAAAACTGGAAAAATCCTCCAATTTAAATTCAGTGAATCAAGGCCTGAACATGTCCTTGAAATACATGAACATTATTGTTTGTATTCAAAGAAAAAAATATAACATATGAAAATTAACAACAACTTTAATATCAAACTGGTTGAAATCGCGTAATGCATACTTCCATTTTCTGACACCTTTTGGAACCAATAATTGGAAGTAAAAATCCTGTATTAGACCAGTTAAAATTCTGTGTTTGACTTGTTTTTCTTCATTAGACATGTATTAATGACCCATTCTCAGACACATGGAATTGTAATAATTGACAATTTATAATGTATTTTAATAAATGTTTGTTAAATGTTATCTTCGCAGGCTAATCAGGAACAAACTAAAATGACAGGGAAAGTGAAGAGACATAACTTAGACAGTTCTAAACAGAAAGCAGTGGTGGAGTACACCAGAGGGCAGTCTAATGATAATACTAATGAGGAAGGTAAATTCTTTCGTTTTTATGGCTACACTGACTTAGGTCAGGCCGTAAAGTTTTACCTTTTTCCATCATTCCGCAACAAACAGTATAGTTATACAGACTTTTTTACCCTCGTCAGTCATTCTGTCATTCAGTCATTCTGTCATTCAGTCATTATTTCATTCCGCAATGAACAGTTATACAGACTTTTTTTCTAAACGCCTTCACATATTGAGCTGATTATGATGATGTGAGTCTACTGTGATGAGTTTCAGATCGAGTTTACACGTGGTGCCGCTCCGCTGATTTTTGTCGAAATAACAGGTCTTTGGATTTGGAAAATTTCAACCCCTAAAAATGACCAAGCTTTTATTGCAAGCGGGGCCATTCGTGTCGTTCCAACACAGATCTAGTTTCAGAAAAAAATCAAAATGTGTTACAGGTTAACTATCTTAGTGTGTACTTAGAACTTAAAATTTTTAAAGAATGGACAAAATGTGAGAACACTTTTTGTGATTTATATATTTAAAATGTTGCAAACAAATAATTGTATCAAAATTTATAATGTGAGGTTATATTTTTGCAATAGCTTTTCAGTGACAAATTTTTGAACTTACAGTTATATTGGCAGAGATTTGATATGGAAGACATTAAAAGTTCTGTGGATTCATTTATTTTCGTGGGTACCAATTTTTGTGGATGAAGGAAAACTTACATGTTCGTGGATATTTAATTTCGTAGTTTTGCCGAAGTCTGCATATAAGCCTAAAGAAAATTTGTCATTCGTTGAAAAATTTATCATCGTACCTACGAAATCCACGAAAAATGGTATCCAACGAATAATAACAAATCCACAGTATTGTGGATTCATTATTATTTGTGGGATAATAATTATCATGAATTTTATGATTAAAGGTTAACCATGGATTTAAATGTTCAACTAAGTACACATTTTTGCATGTAGACATTGGCAAAACAAATCAAATAAAGAAAAACAAATTTGGTTCCAATGAAACTAAGTGAATCCACAGTATTTCTTAATATGGCATGGACTGCAACTGAAGCTGGTATAGGTGTTCTTGAGATGGTAGATATTAGTATAATACAAAAAGCATTTGTTTTTCAGCTCCTATAAAACTTGAAAGATCAACAAGTCAAGAAGGAACAAAGAAAAGAGCTGTTGCTAGGAAAAGCACTGCAGGAGGATCTAGGTCAATGTCCTCATCAGAGGATAGTTCAGGTCCCTGGCAGGCACCTTGGCTGAAAAAGGAACAGCCGCAGCAACAGCCTCATCATCAGCCTCATCCACAGCCACAGAAAAAGAAACCAGAAATTACCCAAATAAAAACTGAAAATGGCACTGCTGCTAATTTACAGAAATCTACAGGTAAAATTATGTATGAATTGAAAAATTGATAGCAATGAATTGCCAAGAGATTATAAAGTTCATCTGCTGGTACAAATCTATTATTGTTTCACCACTTTCCCATGTTAGGGGAGGGTTGAACACTCAAAAACATGTTTAACCCTGTCACATTCTTTATTTGTCTGTCCTTATAGCTAGTCAGGAGCATCCTAATCTAGTGAGTGTCATTGCTTGCTGTCAGTCATATTTGTTTTTTTTGTATATTTTTTAGCATAGAAAAGGCTATTGATTTTCTGTTTTTGATTGTTTTACATTTTGTCATTCCAGTGCCATTTATAGCTTATATAATAATTACTATACAGTATGGGGTTTGCTTATTGTTAAAGGCCACAGGGTTAGGTATAGTTTTTGACATCCTCATACTATGGTCACTGGTGGAAAGTTGTCCAATTGGCAATCATATGACATCTCCTTACTTTTAAAAACAGTTCATCTTTGCTGATTTAAAACTATGCTTGTATCTGTTTACACTCCAATCAGCAATAAATATTTTATATATGAATAATTTAATTTTGGATGTAACACGTCTTCTGATTGGCTGAAAGTGTTTTGTCTATCAGCTCATAGACATAATTTTGTCATGTGACCGCAACATCATCAACGTTTTTATCATGATTTACTCCTTTTTAGAATTAAATTATAAGAAATGACTTTAATATTTTTTCTGTCTATTCGAAATAACATAAAAAATGTGGTGCACACTTTTAAATAACCCGCTATGCGGGTTATTCAGTGTGCACCATATTTTTTTTGTTATTTCTTCATAGACAGAAAAAATATTACAGTCATTCCTTAAATAAAAGGATAAAACAATGTATAAAGGTAAACTTTATGGAGACAACCAATGCACATTATTGTCATTGAAGTTGATATGATTATGTAGTTAAAAAAAAGAAACTTCAGAAATTGAAGGGAACAAATTTCTACTTAATTTGTGAATTTTTCAGACTTTATAGCCAGTAGTATAAGCAGTAACAAAGCTGGGAAGGATATGGCTAGTCTATTACAAGAAAGATTGTCCAAAACAGATGACCCATCTGATATTGGTAAGTAACAAAGCTGGGAATTTTATGGCAAGTCTGGTACAAGAAAGATTGTCAAAAACTGCTGACCCATCTGATGTTGATAAGGAACTTATTATAGTAAAAATTCTTAAAAGTTATTTGTAGTTTTGGAGTGGAAATTTATGGCAAAAGCTAATTAAGAATTGGATGCATATTTTTTATGCCCCACTTACGATAGTAGAGGGGCATTATGTTTTTCGGTCTGTGCGTCCGTTCGTTCGTCCGTCCATTCGTCTGTCTGTCCGTCTGTCCCGCTTCAGGTTAAAGTTTTATGCCCTACCTAGGGGAATTATGTTATTCGGTCTGTGCGTCCTATCGTCCGTCCATCCATCCGTCTGAGTTTTACTTATTTTGAAAGAAATAACTTGTTTTAAATCATGATATATGACCAACTTGAACTGTATCAAGGATCCTGTAATATTTTTACACAATTTCAGTCATTTGAGATGACTTAAAAGTTGGTGCCCTTTTTTCAAATTGTCGAAATCACACTAGCTTCATAGCATCAATGAACTTGTATTGACTATTTCATCGCATTTACTTCATGAATTTTCTGACCATTTTTCTTAAAACGTTCAAGAACAGTTTAGGGAAGGCAACAGTTTATTATTGAAATGATTTTAACTCAATGGTAAATTTTTCAAACATCGCTAACATTTCTTTCGATTTTGAAGACGAAATTAAAACCGGAAGTTTTGCGAAAAGTCTAAAGTACAAGTAATTCCGGATTCATTTCCGAGATTAGTTTTGTTTATCAAATTGACAGGAAATCACCGGCTTTTCAATTTTATTACCTTTAAAAGTGTTTGAATATAACAGATAATAGTTGTACTGGTTTAATTTAGCATGAAATCATATTGCATTTTACGATTCTCGTGAATAATTACTTTTTTCTACGTAAATTAAATTAAATTTTAATTTTTAAATCAGAACTGACGATTGTCTTTGCTGAAAAGTAATTAAATAATGAAGACAGTTGTCATGGAATTTTAATTTCTTTATGATATTAGATTTGAGCTTGTGATCAATGTCAGGTGTGAATTAAAAACACAGGTGAAATGTGATTAGCGATTATTAGCCAATATTTCCCGGAGGCATTAATATAGTTATTAGGAGGACCCTCAGGATTATCATACTATACGGGAATGGCAGTTTTATTACAGGAAAGGGATTACAAAACAAAAACAAGTGCAAAATGGCAATTAAGAAACCCGATCTTAATGAAAGGACTGAAATTATTTCTGAAAAAATAAAATTGTCTTAAATTCCAATCTGCTGTTTAGGACAAATAGCTTTCAGTTTAGGTCATGACTGGCAATTATGACTGTTTCCGGACCCTTGAACTGTAAAGATGTATTATTGCAAGTGAACTTTTAACGGTGTCTTCCTCCTATACCCACTTTTTAAAATCACTATTCCTTCTATTCCCACATGAAAATAACAATAGATGTTTTGATAAATAATTTGTTTTTATAACAATCAAGGTTAATTAATAATTGACCTAAGATTTACCTGTATTTTTTTAAAAGAACACATATTTCTTTCACTGTTTAAATATATTTTGAAAAAAAAAATTAATCCACTGTTTAATTGTAACATGTTTTTTTTCTTATTCAAAGAATTACCTTAAAATAAAGAATAAATCAGATAAACAAAAGTAAGATTAAAAAATCATTGAATTTGTAAACCTAGATTTCTATTTTAATCGGAAAGCACAAGTACAAGAGGCCATCAAAAGAAAAGAACGGTCAGCTAAAATCCGAAAGTTTAATGAAAAATGTATAAACGCAAAAAATAAAATGAAAGGGTTTTGGAATTTCCTTAAAATAAAAGGAACCGATATAGGACATATAGAGCTTAATGATCCACATGATTTTGATAAAATATAAACAGCTACGGATGAGAGAAATAATGCCCTTGCCCACCATTTTAACTCCATAGGTTCCTTTCAAAATGAAAATGGTGAACTTGAAAAAGAAGTTAAAATCCTAATAATAAATATTGACGAAAATTTATTAATATCAGATTCTCCCCTATCGGTTACTTTCATCGGAAAGAAAATTTCACAGACTTTATACATTTCACACAATGGTTGAAGGTGCAATGTATCCACTGGTACACAGTTTAATTCCAGCCAAGAGCAAACTAGTACAAAAAAAATGTATACACAAGGTTCCTGACTTTACTCAAAGATGTTTCTTTTTTCCATTATACACAATGCATCTGGAGAAAAGCACAAGGAACGGGGATTCGGGTTCCATAAAAGAAAGACAACAACATTCATCAAATAGAACGCCGTGCCGCTGTCCTACCACTTTTACCTACTGCTGAGGTCGAAGATGTGTGGTTCAATGCCCTAATCGACATAGATCAGATTGATACTAACAGCAACTACACGCCCTTTACAGACATGGCAAAATACTGATGAGACCATTACACAACATAGGGACTGAGGACTACACATCATCTAGAGGGATGGCAAAGCAAGCTGATAAAACATGTCCAGCACCCACATCCAAACATCTTTAAACTCATAAAACTACTGAAACATGAGGAAGCTAATCCCTGACCATGTTCCAGTATGCAGCCCATGGGAAGAGAGTGGCCCAAAAACGAAAGTATGTCGAAATCAACAACAGATTAGAAGAGCTTATGGATAGATATTGCAACTAGGAAGTTACAACAGTACAGTTTGGTGATGCAGCCTCCCACCTTATTCGCGTTGAATAGATTATTAAACATTAATAGACTTATATACAGTGAATTTCTAATGTGTGTGCTACAATGTGTGGTTTGTTTTAGTGCTGTTAACTTGTATTGTGTGTTTCATATTATAATGCTTGCTTGAATCTACTGTTGAATTTGTGTTATAAAAGGAATAAATTAAATTTACTTATATTTGTTTCCATTTCTTTCATATTAATTTGAATTAAAAACACAGAATTTAACACATACAAAAATAACCTTTAACCTATCAAAAAAACACTTGTCAATTGAAAGTTGATTAAACAATGTTTATACAGTATAATCTTTTGTTTGCACAAGTTTTCCCCCTATTCCCACATGAAATTTTAACTTTTCTTACCAGATTTATAAAAAGTGGGAATAGGAGGAATGAACCCTTTTAACAAACTTTCCCTTTTTAGAAAGCAAAATATACTCGAGTTGAAAAAAAGCTTATTCTAAAAGCATTACAAAAAAGTAGGACTTAAGGAAAATCGAAAGTATTATCAGTCCTATTCATTTTGAAATTTTAACCATATAAAAAATATCCTTTACTTCTCAGACACTACTGCATATGAAAGATATGAATTCTCCACTACAATAAAAAGCAATATCCTAGTACAAATGTATGATTCATACAAATATACTGATCTTTTATTATTTTATAAGCTTTTTTTCTATATTTAACAAAATGTTTAACCTGTTTTTGGTGGGGTTCGTGTTGCTGTTGTACCCCTATTTGTGACATTTTTACATATTGTGTTTGTTTTGTTCACACATTGTTGTCAATATAATGGAATTTGATGCGACTGTCATACAAGTGAGAGGTTTAGCTAGCTTTAAAACCAGGTTTAATCCACCATTTTCTACATAAGAAAATGCCTGTACCAAGTAAGGAATATGACAGTTGTTATTCATTCATTTGATATGTTTGAGCTTTTGATTTTGCCATTTGATTAGGGACTTTCCTTTTTGAATTTTCCTCAGAGTTCAATATATCTGTGATTTTACTTTTTACATTGGTTTTAATGTACTGTAAATTCAGAAATTATTGCGATGTTTTTATTATTGTGAAAAATGTGACATGGTTATAATCGCAATAATTTAAACTCTCATTTTGAATTTTTTTATATAAATAAAACAGGATTTTTCTCAATATCTCAAAAATTAAAATTGCATTTTAGTCTAAAATGACAAAATCGCAATAATAAATGCACGCAATAATTTCTGAATTTACAGTATTTGCTAAATTTATTATTGTAGAAGAATGCATGGGGGAGAGAGTTGAATCCACAGTTAATGTGCCTATCCAGAATAGACAGAAACAGCAAATGGGTAGGTACTTAGAGTTGTAGAGGAAAAAAACCAGAAAGAAATCCTTCATTCAATGAAAATAACTGCATATAGGTATTCTAGAGGCAAGAAAGACCTAATTCTGGAGGATTGAAATGTAATTTAGTTTCCTAAGTTTCAAAAGAATGATTATACAACCATCTTTAACAAAAAACTAGTAAAAGCTTGTAAAAGTTCTACAAGTTAATTTCCATCCAATTTAAAAAAGTTGTTTGGCAGTTCTCATGGTAAGGATCTTACGTGATACAGAAGGGTTAGTAGATCCTGCTGCACATGTGTCTTTGGTTGTGTTACTCATGAAAAGTATGAGTTGTTAAAAGGTCTCCTTCTGTGATGTCAGTGAGGTGGTGAACAAAATCTGTTATATTATTATGATGGTTTTACTTTAAATAGTGAAAGTGAATATAAATAGTGCCTGGAATCAAGCTCAATTACAACAGTGAATGAAGTGTGCTTGATGTTTGGAAAGTAATTTATTTTCACTGATACTGGATTTTGCATTTAGGCCTTTGTAGTCCATTCACAGCAATTTTTTTTTAATTTTCCTGATGTATTTATATAAGGGAAGATAAAGTTTTACATGGAGGCAAAAATTAATATTCATGTTGCATAAAAAGATATTTTTATAGAAATGAAGGACATGCAGTGTAATCAGAAATTATGTTGCTCATAGTGAGAAAAGTTTATTGTAAGGATGAAGTAATTGAACAAATTGACAAGTAATATAATTGTCTGACCTTTGTATATTTTCTTTCTGACCAAGAATTTTGACTTGCTTTCTAAAGTAATTAAATGATTACAATTATTTAAAACTGATTATTAGAATTTTGTAACTGATGATTTTACAACAAATGTTTTACTTGCAAAAAGAAAACATGAATCTTCTGCCAAAAAATCTCTTAATAAAATTGTGATGGGAGATAACCCTTTTTTAGCTGAAAAACAGTACATGTAATGTTGACAACCGCATATCTTACAAAATGAGGGCATTAAGATTTCAAAAATAAGTGTAAGTTAGTTTTATTTTTTTTTAAATAAAAAATTTTGAAATGTTGATTATTTTATTTATCTCTGTTTAAATTTTTACAGACCCACACAGCTGCTGTCATAAGTGTTTGAAAGATTTAGAAGATGATCCGGTGAAATTCAGGGGAACTAACCCATTACTCATACCACTCTTGTGTGGCTGGGAAAGGTACACTTTTATATTTAATATTGTGGAAGTGTACAATATACATGGTTTGAAAGACTTGCAATACAGTACTGCTTTTATTACTACTTCAGTTCTTATAACTCATACCACTTGACCATTTCAGAAATGGTGATGCATTGGGAAAATTCACTTTTTACGATGTTCTGATTGGTCCAGACATCGTTTACAAGGATGTTGAAATTGTACAACATAATTTACAAGGAAGATATTGAATTTGTTCTAAGTTTAATTTCAGATTCAAATTCAGGGTTTCACAAATCTACATAATGTTATATGAAGGTTTTTTTTTTTTTTTTTTTTTTTTTTTTTTTTTTTTTTTTTTTTTTTACAATGCATTAAAGGCATTTAGAGTACAACTGAACTCTTTTCTAAACATCTACCATGGAATTAATTTATTTTTCGTAGTTACCAATTTTTCGTAGATTGAGGATGTTTGATTTCATCATGTTGCTAAAGTCTGCATATATTCCTATAGAAAATTTGTATGTCTTTGAACATTTAAATTCATGGTTCCCATGTACCCATGAAATCGACAAAAAATTGGAATCCAAAGAGAAATACTGTGGATTCATTATTATTCGTTGGATACCAATTTTCGTGGATTTCGTTGGTATAGATAAACCACGAAATTAAATGCTCAACGAGGAACACATTTTCTATTGGCATTTACAGAGACTTTGGCAAAACCACCAAATCAAATTTCCACGAAAATGTGATTTTCCCTCAATCCACGAAAATTGGTATCCACGAAAATTAATGAATCCACAGTATTTAGAATTTGAGATAATGAAATAAAAGAGGGATTTATAATATCAAATGTTCAAAGCTTGTATTCATGAGATAAAGAAGTGACCTGTCTTATCTCTTTTTTTATTTATTTGTAGACATGTATGTAAAGTAAAGCCAGGTGGCAGACGCATGGTGGCCTACAGAGCACCCTGTGGCAGACGGCTACGTAACATGCAGGAATTGGATAAATATCTGGGGTTGACAGACTCTCAGATGACAATTGATCTCTTTTGTTATGATCCTGTATTACATGTTCACACAGAATTTGTTCCTGTAAAGGTAAGGTCATATTGCAGAAGGTAGGAACTGAACATTTGAAAAAGGAAATATTTGTAACCTTTTTATTATTCCTATATATTCTCTCCTCATTAACAAATTGTTGGTATTTTATAGGAAGGACTTTGTCAGTTCATGGACATGTCCTTCTGTAAATCTGTCTGTGAAACTTGTAAGAAGTCAGACAGGTTTCGATGAACTCTTCACAAAGATAAAATACCTCATGGAGATATGCATGAAAATATTAATTATAATTTCCTATTAATTTTTTGAACTCCTTTAATTTTAAACTGTAACACTGGTTTTCATTTCTCTGGATTAAATTTACAAAGTATGCACTATGATTCACTGAGCATGGCAAATGGGAGATGACTGCTTTGATTGAAATAGTTTATTTTGAAATTTTGGGAGATTTTAATATAATACATGAATACGTAAGGTGTCATTGGTTTTTGTCTCGCCTTGATGAGTCAAAAAGCGAGACATAGGTATGCTGTTTCCGGCAACGGCGGTGGCGTCAACAATGTATTAGTTTGTGATTAGGTCTAGTTCATGGTGAACCACTAGTGGTAGGTCAATGATATTTGGTATGCAGTTGTATTAGCATTGGCACATCTCATTACCATGGAGATTATTTGGCCCCGCCCCCTCAGTCAAGGTCTATTGACTTTGAAACTTTTCATAGTTTACATGTATTAGTTTGTGATTAGGTCAATTTATGGGGAACCACTAGTGGTAGGTCAATGATATTTGGTATGCAGTTGTATAAGCATTGGCATATCTCATTTCCATGGAGATTATTTGGCTCCGCTCCCTTAGTCATGGTCTATAGACTTTGAAAATTTTGCTAAGTTAACATGTATTAGTTTGTGAGTAGGTCAGTTCAAGGGGAACCATTAGTGGTAGGCCACTGTTAGTTGGTGTTCAGTTGTATAAGTATTAGCACATCTCATTTCTATGAAGAATATTTGGCCCCGTCCCCTCAGTCAATGGTCTATTGACTTTGAAACTTTTGCTTAGTTTACATGTATTAGTTTGTGATTAGATCAGTTTAAGATGAACTGCTCATGTTAAGTCAAAGATATTTGCATTTGCAAGTATCGTTTCCATGGAGATTATATAGCCCCACCCCTGATCATGGTTCATTGACTTTGAAACTTTTACATAGTTTACAAGTTAATGTTTGTGCAGACTGCACGAAATTCGTCGGACCGTCAGACAAATCCGGTGAATAATGGATCGGTCTGGTAAAATTTTGTTGAATTCCGGTCCGAATGTTCGTTGTTGTTTTTTTCGTGGATTTTTCTAAACCTGCATTTTTCCAATTTTGGGAGCAAAATTCCCAAACGATATCAAAATTCATTTTCATCTTTATTATTCATGACAGCGATGTTTATTTTGTTCAACTGCTAGCTTTATGCCAAAAATCGCCAACAAGTAATGTGTAAATCCAAGTAAAAACATATCTGACTGACAAAACAACAATGGCTGCCATCAACCGGAAATATAGACATTCTCAATACCGGATCAGATTCCGGTAACGGATAAGGCCAATTTCCGGGTTTGCCGATCAAATACAATAGATAAATAAAAAAAAATCCAAAGCAAGTTCACAAAATACAGCTATGAAATATAAACACTAGAATTGAAAACCAAAAGATATATGAAAAAGAAAGAAGATACAGGAAATATTTTATACAGAAACTCAAAATTATATTTAGTTTACAAATAATTTTCATGTCAAAATCCAATAAAATGTGACATTACTTTTCTTTATCACTGAAATGCATTCAAGCAATTGTGCACAACTTTCATCAAAATATACACTCTTGTCACATGATTTTGTTTTTGTGCATTTTGGAGAGGAGTACGGCACAACAAGTCATAAGTATTTTGTATTTTGTCGGATAATATACAATTAGATGTAAAAAAAAAAATTGGTCTGGTAAAATTTCATGCGGTCTGGTAAAGCTAGGTTGTTTACCAGACCGAATGTCCTGTAAAAATAAAATTCATTTGTGTAGTCTGTTTGTGATTAGGTTTGTTTAAAGGGAACGACTTATAATAAGTCAATGGTATTTGGTATGCAGTTGTATTAGCATTGGCACATCTCATTCCATGGAGATTGTTTAGCCATGTACCTTCAGTCATAGTTCATCGACTTTGAATATTTGAATAACTTACATGTTAAAGTATTGCTATTTTAATTTCAACATTTGCATTATCAAAATTACAAAAAGGCAAGACATATCTCTGTGATAACAGTTTATTAACAAACAAAAAATCATTACAGTCCAGCATTAACAGTTTATTAACAAACAAAAAATCATTACAGTCCAGCATTACTGTGGAGCAGACACTGATGGGGCATTTTGTACCATTTGACAGTAAAACAACATTGTATTGGATGATGATCTAATGATTGCCCTCTTCAAAAAATGAATTTTTTTAATCTGGCTTTGATTCAAATTTGATTTTATCTCATGTACTTTTTTTATATTATTGTAGACATTTTGTGATATCAAAGATCTCTCATACGGGAAGGAAAGTGTTCCTATCCAGTGTGTAAATGGGATAGATAGACAGTATCCTGACTATGTAGAATACTCAAATGTCCGTATCCCAGCCAAGGGAGTTAACCTCAATCTCAATCCAGAATTTATGGCATGCTGTGATTGTACAGACAATTGTAGAGTGAGTTAGACATTTAAGTGCCAGTCTGCCTAAGAATCAGGCAGTGGTGAAAACATGACAAATGAAACCCTGCTCTTTACATTATATTTAAGTTCAGAATGTATGATAGTGCACTAATATAACATTCGTTTCCTTGTCCTATTCTGGTATAACGAGATATAATTTGGTTGAAATGCACTAGGAATTAATAATTAAGGGGAACTAACTCTGTAATTTGCTATCATTCTAACCAAAAGTTATCTAGATATTTCTCGAATTACCAGACATGCAGAAACGAAAGACCTACTATTTCTAACTCAGGATTAGGGTAACTTCAAAATAGGATGGTTTGGTCAGCGTTTTTTTTCGGCCATGTTTTGAAATTCTTCTAAAATGCCTGATTCTTACATAGACTGGCACTTTACAGTTTATTTTAGTTATGTCCCTTGATTATGTAAAAGTTGGATTTATGCTCTGTAAATTCAGTTCAGTAAAAAGATGCAATGTTCCAAAAAGAAAATATAAATATATGTATGTTTGTATGTATATTATATAATTTTTATAAATAATAAATGTTTGCTTTTTCAATGTAAGTCAATGGCAGTATTTTATTTTTGATATCATGAAATATATGATTTTTTGCATGAACTGATATGATTTATTATATTATTGTTTAGAATTTTAAAATAAACAAAAATATTTCACAATTTCCCTGAAGTTTAGCTAAAGCTTTGTGCTGTTTGATTGATGGATGGTGGATGGCTGTTTATTGTCCAGTGGCAAGTTAAATGCATATTCATGCCAAGAACATGTTAATGGGATATAAATATGAACCCTGCATTGTACTAGACCGACACGCTGAGCCAGATTTTTAGTGCTAGTTCTAAAGGTAACAGTCTGGATCAAGATATGTTACCTTACCGTGACACATGACTCCTAGCCGACCAGTCATTGATCTTAATCCTTAATACCTTGTGCTTAGCAGAGAAGCAGTGAATATCAAAATTAAAGTCTTTGGTTTGCATGCTACCACGAGACTGCTGAAATGGTTTTGTGCTGTTTGAATAATTATACACAATAATCAATAAAATAATGTTTCTTTGTAGGATAAATCTAAATGTGCCTGTCAGCAACTAACTGTAGATGCCACAGCTGTCAGTTCATCTGGCAAACCTAATCCTAACGCTGGTCTAGAGCACAGACGTCTTAAAGAACCTCTTATAACCGGGTAAGGTTTTATAGCTTGTTATTGTTTTAGCTATTTTCAAATACTGGTGGGAATAAAAACATTGACATTAAAAATTTCAGTTTGTTTTTATTAAAAAATGGGGGTATTAAGTTTTACCCTTGTATGTCTGTTACGTCTGTATGTCCCAAAATTGGTTTCTGTTCTCTAACTTTAGTTTGCTTCAACCAAATGTTAGGAAACTTATACACAATGCTTATTATCACAAAACACAGATCAAGTATGAATTTGGGTAGCGTTACTTTTACTGTTTTTGAGTTATGTCCCTTTATAATGTTATATGCATGCGGGGGCATCATCTGTGTACCATGGACACATTCCCTATTTATTTAAATTTAATGTAGAACTCTTGTTGAACTCATGAGGATCAAAATTATAGCTCAGTTCCTATCATAAATTCTTTTTCAGTTGCAGTTTTAACAGTGTGATTTCATTTTAAAATACTTTTAAATTAAAATTTAGAATGGAAACAGGAAATGTGTCAAAGAGACAACAACCCTACCAACAAGCAGATAACAGCCATAGAGGTGGGCTTCCCTTCTGATTTTAATTGACTTCCTGCTTTATCTCAAAAGTTTTACTGTGCATTTGGCCTGAAAAGCTTGAGATTTCTTATTAGTATTTCTTAGAAACTGTCTTGCCACTATAAGTTTCTTACCACCAGGTTTGATTCAAGTAGGTTTTACTGTAGAAATTTAAATGATGATTGTATTTTTCAGGGTGTTTGAGTGCAATGCCAGCTGTTCCTGTGATCAACGTTGTATCAACAGAGTTGTACAGAACGGCCTCCAAGTCAGACTACAAGTGTTCAAAACAGAGAAAAAGTAATCAAATATTTTTCATTCAATTTGCGTCAAAGGTGTTTGTATATTAATTGGGTTTATTCTTTTCTGACACTCCCCCTTTTCCCATTTTTGAAGATAAAGCAGTTTTGTTGTCGAGCCTGCGACTTTTGTTGCAGAAAGCTCGACATAGGGATAGTGATCCGGCGGCGGCGGCGGAGTTAGCTAACTTCTTAAAAGCTTTATATTTTAGAAGGTGGAAGATCTGGATGCTTCATACTTTGTATACGGATGCCTAATGTTACGAAATTTCCGTCAGTCACATGTCCAATGTCCTTGACCTCATTTTCATGGTTCAGTAACTACTTGAAAAAAAAAGTGAAGATTTTTTGTAATGTTAAATTCTCTCTTATTATAAGTAATAGGATAACCATATTTGGTATGTGCGTATCTTGCAAGGTTCTCATGCCCGTCAGACAGTTTTCACTTGACCTCGACCTCATTTCATGGATCAGTGAACAAGGTTAAGTTTTGGTGGTCAAGTCCATATCTCAGATACTATAAGCAATAGGTCTAGTATATTCGGTGTATGGAAGGACTGTAAGGTGTACATGTCCAACTGGCAGGTGTCATCTGACCTTGACCTCATTTTCATGGTTCAGTGGTTATAGTTAAGTTTTTGTGTTTTGGTCTGTTTTTCTTATACTGTATGCAATAGGTCTACTATATTTGGTTAATGGAATGATTGTAAGGTGTACATGTCTAGCTGGCATGTGTCATCTGACCTTGACCTCATTTTCATGGTTCATTGGTCAAAGTTAAGTTTTTGAGTTTTGGTCTTTTTTTCTAATACTATATGCAATAGTTCAACTATATTTGGTGTATGGAAATATTTTATGATCTATATGTCAGTCACACAGGTTTTATTTGACCTTGACCTCATTTTCAAGGTTCATTGCTCAGTGTTAAGTTTTTGTGTTTTGGTCTGTTTTTCTTAAACTATAAGCAATAGGTCAACTATATTTGTTGTATGGAAGAATTGTTAGCTGTTTTCATGGTTCATTGGTCAATGTTTAGTTTACTTGGTTAATGTTAAGTTTATGTGACAGTTGTAATAAAGCTTTATATTTAGGACTATCAACATACAATCAATGATCAGTTAAGAAGGCCAGACATTTCAGCGTGTGCACTCTTGTTAATGTAAACAATAGTTGAATATGAATACATATTAAAAGAGGACTGATCATTATGAAGATAGATTTAAACCACTGAACTGCTTGATAGTATTACAAACAGTAAATCAGTTTTATGTCATCATAGAGATTTGTTCACGCATAGATCAAGTGATTAGTTTTGAAAAAGCTACACCTGATTTTTTTTCTCTAATTATTAATCAGTCTTGATTTCTTAAGTTCTGTTATAAATGAATTCTGATTAGTATTGAAGAACATAGTTCAGATGAATACTTTTACATGAACTGTAATAGAATATACCATTTGTATCCTGTATTTTATACTTAATAATGGACTTAACTTATGCACAGATGAACATTCAACCTGATATACCTGTTTCAAAATGGTTTGGTCTGTTATGGATTAAACCATTTTTGCCCAGATTTACCTGTTGAATAATATGATAGCCTAGACCTATATTGTGATATCCCATTTCTAACTGGATGTCCCTATTACTGTTTCAGAAAAACTGTTTTGGGTCAAACCATTTACTAGATTTATCAGGGGATATCTGTTTAGTAATGGACTAGTCTAATATGAGAAAGACATTTACAATTTTTAAATGTACTTGGATTAATATAAATCTAGCAATTTTCAGTCCTCTAAGTTCAACTGAACAAGACAAATGTGAAATAAAATGTAACATATTCAGTCGTATGTAACCATAAGAAATGGTTTGGACTTATGTAATAAACCATATCCATCCTTTAGGGCTATTCCATTAAAATGTATGTGGGAGGGTAGGAAGGGACTTTCAAAATATCCCTACAACCAAGAACCATTTTTTAGATAATTTTGCATAATGGTAATAGACGCATACTGAAAAAAGACCCATGACCCACATTCAATAATTAAACTTCCCTTCCTACCAGGGCTTCAAAATTATTTTTAGCCAGCCGGACATTTTATATATTATCCCGATTTTAATCCCTTAAGACTAAATAAACAAAAGGCAATTATGGTATTCAGTTGCTGAGTTGGCCATCCCAATGATTGACATTAAAAAAAAAACGATATTAAACTTTCTTTGATTCAAATTCGAAGTTCTGACGTAAACTGTTAAATTGGCAGTGCATCATTCGAAGTGTGCAACATCAGCGTACTTATATCTGCCTTAGACTCTTTATTTGTGCAAAATAACGTTGTCAAAAACTTAACATTCGTTAAAATCTTATACCGGATGTTATCTTGACAATGGTAAAACATGGACCAGAGACGGATACGTAAATTCCGTGTACGTTTGCAAAGCATGAATGAGTGTACGTAGCTCTTTCTACGTTATTTCTTCAAGAAAATATTCGAAATAAACGTGAGATAAAGGTATCAATGACAATTTAAGCATTTTTTGAAGAAATTAGGATGCATAATTAAATTTCACACCTGCGCACATGCGCACATGTGTACTATTTCAAACAGAGACATGTCTCTGGTTCAAACAACGTGGTTATGACGATTTTTCATTTTCACCTTTTTAATTTTTTCATCAAATCATATTTGTAAACGTATTTCTGATAATTTAAATCTTTTTGACTAAATTAATTAGATGCAAACCCCTGAAATGTAAGAAAATAACTTTGAATAGACAGATCAATGTCCGGTTCAAAATAGTTTACCTGTCACCTGAACAGGTAAATTTCAGCTGTTCGACAGCTAATTAGCCTTGATTAAAATGAGAAGGTATTAAAGTAGGGGTTGTTTTGATAGTACTTAATGATCATGTCACTTTTATGACCGGAAATGTGTGGCTGCTAAAGGCAAAAGGTTGGGTCAAAAAGATCGCGAATTATGTTAAAATGACCGTCTCTTAAGAAAGCCTTGAAAACTAAAAAGTAGATGACCGTTTCATGCTTTGCCCAGCCGGACTTTTACCGGACATTATACAAATGTCCGGAATATATGACCGTTTTGGAAGCCTTGCTTCCTACCCTCCCACAGACATTTTAATGGAATAGCCCTTAAAGCAAAAGTTTAAAGGATATTGTTTTTGCAGAGTTACTAGTTGTTTGGGATCAATATATCATTAGTCACATTTCTCATATACTTTAAATTCAGAAATTATTGCAAGGTTTATATTAATGCGAATAATGTGACTGGGTGTATAGTATCGCAATAATAAGTAATAATGTACTGGAAAATAAGTATTCAGACAAAGTGGGAGTAACATCTGGAGTACCCCAAGGAAGTGTACTTGGACCTGTCCTTTTCCTTATCTTCATCAATGACATCACTGATGATATACAGTCAACAATCCGTCTGTTTGCTGATGATTGCACCATCTACCGGCCAATTAGAACTACCAAAGATCAAGCCATCCTTCAAAAAGATCTGACTACACTGACGAAATGGGAACAGAAATGGAAAATGGAATTTAATGTCAGCAAATGCAACGTGATGCACCTAACAAGATCTAAAACCCCCATAAAAGAACCCTATTACATGCATGGGAAACAACTAGAAGCAGTCACAGACACGAAATACTTGGGAATTACCATCAAAGACGACCTTAGCTGGAACCTACACATAAACAACATTGTAGCCAGTGCAAACCAAGCACAAGGGATGCTCAGCAGAAACATCAAAAAAGCTCCACAACAAACAAAAACCAATTCTGTCAATGCACTTATAAGACCAAGAGTGGAATATAGCGCAGCCATATGGGATCCCTATACACAAGAAAATATTGACAAAATAGAGCAGGTACAAAGAAGAGCAGCTCGCTATATTTTCAATGACTACAGTAACGAATCGAGTGTCACAAGCATGATAAGCAAGCTTAACTGGATACCTCTCTACCAACGAAGAGTGAACATCAGATTATGCCTATTTTACAAAATTGTAAATGGACTAGTAACAATTCCAACAGATACTTACCTAATTCCACTAAATAGAACATCAAGACACTACAATACCATGGCATACACCATCTTCAGCCCAAGACATGATTACTACAAATTCTCATTCTTTCCAAGAACAGTAATAGCCTGGAATAAATTACCGGAATCGACAGTGAAAGCTCCCACTATCGAAGCTTTCAAGACACTAGTTACCTAGATGATGGAATGTTTTTATCCTGCGCCAACTGTACAGCATGCACCGTATTTTCTTTTTTGATCTTTGATCTTTTATTGTAAATAGACATTACCAACACCTACGTAACGCACAAGTATTGAGTACTCATTATTGAGTTTAACTACTATATCAAAGAAGAAGAAGAAGAATAAGAACTCTCATTCTGATATTAAACTGAAAAATAGACCTGTATGCAGATCTTTTTGAAATCGAAAAAATCGCAATAAATAAACATTCTTGAAAAATCACAATAATAATTGCACGCAATAATTTCTGAATTTACAGTACATTTTCATGTCAGCAAGTAAGATATTTTTATGAAATATTTTAATTTATATAAAATAAATCGAATAGCATCATGGGTCCAATCATAATCCTTACATAGTTACCTTTCAAAAAACTATATCACACAATTACTCAGAGGTTTATCTGATTACTTTGAGAATATGTCCTTTTTTGGAAATTAAAAAAAAAATTAGTAGATTAAACCGGTAATGTTTAAAATTAAAAGTTCTAAATGATTTTGAAATTAGTTAGAATGAGTCAACCTTGAGGCATGCTAGGAAAATCATCTTACTTCACCCCCATATCAAAGATGCCAAGCATTTCAATGCATGAATGTACAGTTATGTAGTTACAGAAAACACATGTCAGTATGTCTTTCTTTTAAACATCAGATGATGTTGGTAATTAGGAATAAGAAGATGTGGTATGAGTGCCAATGAGACAACTCTCCATCCAAGTCGCAATATGTAAAAAGTAAACAATTATCGGTCAAAGTACGGCCTTTTTGTATCGCTTAACAAAGTCAAAAAGGAGAGACATGCTGCTTCATCATGGCACGTCAACAATTTGTGAAAACCTTTTGATGAGGTCAGTTTGAAGGGAACCACTTATATTGAATCTATGTTATTCAACATTGGCATTTTACTATCAAAATTACATACAAGTAAGACATATTCTTGTGTTAACAGTTTATATAGAAAATTTTACTGTTTTTTGGGCTATTACCAATATGACACCTCTTTAACGCTTTCATGATAGGCCTTTGTCTTCTAGTGTTATTTGTTTTTTGTCTCATTGAAGTATACCACATACATGTATCTCTTTTTTTTTCGTCTTCAAAACATCTGATTGGATGAGATGAGACATGCAATAAGTCTCCCACAGCAGCAGAAAGTGAGCATGTCAGAAGGCTCCCACTGTAGTAGAAAGTGAGCATGTCAGAAGGCTTCCACTGTAGTAGAAAGTGAGCATGTCAGAAGGCTTCCACTGTAGTAGAAAGTGAGCATGTCAGAAGGCTTCCACTGTAGTAGAAAGTGAGCATGTCAGAAGGCTCCCACTGTAGTAGAAAGTGAGCATGTCAGAAGGCTCCCACTGTAGTAGAAAGTGAGCATGTCAGAAGGCTTCCACTGTAGTAGAAAGTGAGCATGTCAGAAGGCTTCCACTGTAGTAGAAAGTGAGCATGACAGAAGGCTCCCACAGTAGAAGAAAGTGAGCATGTCAGAAGGCTTCCACTGTAGTAGAAAGTGAGCATGTCAGAAGGCTTCCACTGTAGTAGAAAGTGAACATGACAGAAGGCTCCCACAGTAGTAGAAAGTGAGCATGTCAGAAGGCTCCCACTGTAGAAAGTTGTCTTATAAAAACAAATTTGGTCAAAATACTTAGATAAAGGGTGACTGATTCAGACTACTTTGAGACATTAGTTATATTATGATTTTTGTCTCGCCTTGACAGAGTCAAAAAGCGAGACATAGGTATGCTGTTTCCAGCGGCGGCGGCGGAGTCAACAATGTATTAGTTTGTGATTAGGTCTAGTTTATGGTGAACCACAAGTGGTAGGTCAATCATATTTGATATGCAGTTGTATAAACATTGGCACATCTCATTTCCATGGAGATTATTTGGCCCTGCCCCCTCAGTCATGGTCTATTGACTTTGAAACTTTTGCTTATTTTACATATATTAGTTTGTGATTAGGTCAGTTTATGGGGAACCACTAGTGGTAGGTCAATGATATTTGGTATTCAGTTGTATAAGCATTAGCACATCTCATTTCCATGTAGAATATTTGGCCCTGCCCCCTCAGTCATGCTTAGTTTACATGACTTTTTTGTATTAGTTTGTGATTAGATCAGTTTAAGATGAACTTCTAATGTTAAGTCAATGATATTTGGTATGCAAATTTATTGGCATTTGCAAGTATTGTTTCCATGGAAATTATATAGCCCCACCCCCTCTTTATGGTTCATTGACTTTGAAACGTTTACATAGTTTACAAGTTAATGTTTGTGTTAAGGTTTGTTTAAAGGAAACAACTTATAATAAGTCAATGGTATTTGGAATGCAGTTGTATTAGCATTGGCACATCTCATTTACATGGAGATTGTTATGCCATGTACCTCAGTCATGGATCATTGACTTTGAATATTTGGATAACTTATGTAAGTTGTTAAAGTATTGCTATTTTAATTTCAACATTTGCATAATCAAAATTACAAAAAGGCGAGACATATCTCTGTGATAACAGTTTATTCAAATAAGATTTTATTTTGTACTTTTTCAGAAGCTGGGGTCTCCATTGTTTGGATAATTATTTTGTACTTTTTCAGAGGCTGGTTGTCTTCGTTGTTTGGATGACTATTTTATTTTGTACTTTTTCAGAGGCTGGGGTCTCCGTTGTTTGGATGACTTGGCAAAAGGAAACTTTATATGTATTTATGCAGGTCAGCTGCTAACAGAACAAGGTGCTAATGAGGTTAGTTTTATCACTTTGTTTACTTAAGATGAGTGCATGTACTGATTTTGTGTCATTGATGGATACCCCATATCCTTTTTTTCAATAAATAGAGAGAAAAACGACGTAAAGAGGTCTCTGAACACAATAGCTCCAAAGGATCTTTCGTTATTTGAATCCATATTAGTTATGTGTTTCAGCGGCAAACATTCTAACAAATTCTGCCTCTGAAGAAGGTCTGTGAAGGACCAGAACCAGTCAGACTATGATTCATCACCAGCCCCTGTTAGTTGTGTGTTTTGGCATTCCATACTTTTCACTTTGTTAACTTTACATTTATTCTACTGACAACTTATGAGAGAACCTCTTTGATTTATTAATGACAATGCACAAAAAGGATAACAGAAATTTATACAAAATATTTGATAAAAATATGTGATAGTACATGTACAACAGATCAAGTAGATTGATTGATTGGTGTTTAATGCCATTTTCAGCACTATTTTGCAATATCATGGTGGCAAGTTTTTATAGGTGGAGGAAGCTGGAGTGTCCTGAGAGAACCACCAACCTTCAGTAGGAAAACTAACAATCCTAGTCAATTAAGTTTGGAGTCAAATGCACCTGCCAAATTCAGGATTCAAACTCACAACCTCAGTGTTGACAGGCTAGTGATACTGTAGTTCGACTACTTATACCACTCGGCCACTGATACCTCTCTAAAAACAGATGTACAAATAAAGACAAACAACACATGGTTTAGATAGCCTGACTTTGAACAAGCAAAAATGTGGTTGGAATAAACATGCATGCAAGCCCCTCTTTAGCCTTTCCACACCATATGTCATTAAAACTGAAACACATTATAAAAAGCCTGCACGTACAGTGAGCCCCCAAAAAGATGACCCTACCTTTGAACAAAGATATAAAAGACAGCACTTAATTTGGAATGCAAGGTAAAATGTGCTGTCTACTACACATATATATGCATTAATATGTATTAAAAAGTGGAAACATCTGTATAGAAGCAAATGTGAAACTATTTAAAACAGCATTAATTTCAGGCAAAATAGATTCATTGGCATCAGTTAATAGATTTGGTCTTATTCTGATTGAACATTACAGTGTTATCAGTGTACAGCAAAATTTAAAGATGAGAAATACATGAAAACAACTATTGTTCTTCATTGAGGGGCGTAAAGGGGGGGGTATCTGCACGGAAGAACGGGAAATAAAATTGCCATTTCACGATGAATGAACAATTAAAATTTCTTGCACGTTGATCTTTTTACCGATTTCACAAAACACGGTGAATAACGAACCTTTTTCACGGCTGCACGTGAAATAAAAATGGCAAAACATGTTGCACGAAAATAACCTTTACCACCCTCTTCATTCTGTCAAGGTCAAAAGTTTTGCATGGAATCAGTATTGTTTTATTTTTCGAATTTGTTTTCTATTATTATATCTTGACCACTGACACTTATTGATAGCTTTCAGAAATGTTGGTCAGAAAAATGCAAAATTTTATAGACATATAATGATTAAGAAATATTGGGTAGATGTACATGAATCAAAGATCTGAAGCTTTTGCATGGTATACAAAGATGGATAAAACACTTGCTATATATATAAAGGGATTAGCCAGGATCAAAAGTCTGGTGTGTAAGACCACATCAGTTATGTATAGTACATGTTTAATGCCAATTATTACATGCATATCTGGAGGAGAACATAAACACACAATAGAAATAATGATCAGAATACTGTCAATTATTGTGTGCATTATTACTGTAATTGTTGAACAATCTACACATATGACAGTTTAAGGAGGTACCAAACACCTTGACTAAAATTAATTTGGCTCGTTTAATTTTTCATAAAATTTTGACAAAATATTTACTTTGACCCTTTGACAAAAATATAAAAATTTCAAAAAACTTGAACCACACACTTTATCGGAAAAATTTCATTGGATATATAGCAGTTTGACAAACACTAATTTTGATCATTGAGAAGCTTAATATTTCCTTAACAATAGAATGTGATTAAAACGTTCAGCTGATTTTTACAGAGTTATCTCCCTGTAGTGAAAATGTGAGTTTTTATTTTTTTGACACCAATATTGTCGCATTAAAATAATCAACACAATAATTTCTGAATTTTCAATATTACAATTCTTTTTATATTTCTATTTTAGGATGGACAGCAGTTTGGTGATGAATATTTAGCTGAATTAGATTACATAGAAGTGGTAGAGAGACAGAAAGAAGGTTATGAAAGTGATGTCGACATGGATGAAGGACTTGGTGATGGGAGCGATGAAGAGGAAGAAGTTGATGATAGTGATGATGAAGGGGCCAATCTATCCAATAATGACTCGGACAGGTAAGTAACAAAATTCAACAGAAGATCTATATATGTATATTATACTATTATTGACTTTTGATGAGGTTGATCAATCATTATATCAACTGAAATCAAAAGTCAACAATTGTTTTATTATATGACTTTTTATCATTCTCCAATTTTCTAGTATTTGCTTTAGATACTTTTAAAACTGCTCCCTGTTTTCACCAAAAACAAGAAGTAAAAAAAACAAAACGGGAATACACATGACGTCATAAAGCTATGTCAATGACGTTGCCTTGGAATATCTAAATTTAGGTACACGGACGCTGTTACAAATCTCATATTAACCTCTTGTGATTTTTTCTGCAGTCAATATAATGTTTTATCAAAGAGGATTTCCTATGCTTTTAGCCAATGAGAAAACCAAAAATATATAGTCATATAATAAAAACAGATATGGTATGATTGCCAATAAGACAAATATCAACCAAAGTCCAAATGATAGGGATGCAAGCAACAATAGGTCAATGTTCAGCCTTCAACAATGAGCAATCATAGATTTTGAAGAACACCTTCAGTGTCCTTATATCTTACTAATTTTTATGCCCCCGCCGTAGCGGAGGGGGCATTAAGTTTTACCCTTGTCCGTCTGTACGTACGTACGTACGTCCCAAAATTGGTTTCCGTTCTCTAACTTTAGTTTGCCTCAACCAAATGTTATGAAACTTATACACAATGGTTATTACCACAAAACACAGATCAAGTTTGAATTTTGGTGGCGTCACTTTTACCGTTCTAGAGTTATGCCCCTTTACAAATGGAAAAATTGCTGAATTTTTCGTTTCCGTTCTCTAACTTTAGTTTGCCTCAACCAAATGTTATGAAACTTATATACAATGCTTATTACCACAAAACACAGATCAAGTTTGAATTTTGGTGGCGTCACTTTTACCGTTCAAGAGTTATGCTCCTTTACAAATGGAAAAATTCAGCTTTTCGTTTCCGTTCTCTTTTTTTAGTTTGCCTCAACCAAATGTTATGAAACTTATACACAATGCTTATTACCACAAAACACAGATCAAGTTTGAATTTTGGTGGCGTCACTTTAACCGTTCTAGAGTTATGCACCTTTAGAAATGGAAAAATTGCAAAATTTTTATTTTCTTCTAAATGTCAAGTTATTTTTTAAATTGGAGTTATCTTCCTTTGTCCATGATTATAGTTGAATCAACTACAATCAATGCTTTATACAATGCAATGTTTAATATTGACTTCCACTGATAAAACACAGATCAAGTTGAATTTGGGTAATGTCACTTTAACCATTATTGAGTTATGCCCCTTTATAAATCGAAAGATTGCAAAATCTTTAGTTTCCATTCTGTAACTTAGGTTTGCCCCAACCAAACATTTTGAAACCTATACACAATATTCATTACCACAAAACTAAGATCAAGTACAAATTTTTTGTTTCCGTTTTCTAACTTTAGTTTGCCTCGACCAAATGTTATGAAACTTATACACAATGCTTATTACTACGTAATACAGATTAAGTACGAAATTTGGTGGCAACGCTTTTACCATTCTTGAGTTATGTTCCTTTATAAACATAAAAATTGCTGAATTTTTCGTTTACGTTCTCTAACTTTAGTTTGTCTCAACAAAATGTTATAAAACTAATACACAACCGTTCTAGAGTTGTGCGTGTTTACAAATAGAAAAATTGCTGAATTTTTAGTTTCTGTTCTCTACTTAAGTTAGCCTCAACCAAATGTTATGAGACTTACACACAATGCTTATTACCACAAAACTCAGATCAAGTTCAAATTTGGGTAGCGTCACTTTTATCGTTCTTCAGTTATGTCCATTTATAACTATATGACATGCAAGCTGGGGCATCATCTGTGTCCACATGTGGACACTATCCACATTTATATTTTAATTTAAAATTTTAAACAATGATATTCCCACAATGCTACATTTTTTAATTGCACTTTTACACATCCTATCATTCATTGTGGTAAGGTGGTAGTGATTTTAACAACCTGCATGTACTGTAAATTCAGAAACTATTGCATGCATTTGTTATTGCAATTTTTGCAGAATGGACAAAAATGTGAGATTAATTATTGCGATTTATGGAAAAGCTGCATACAGATATATCTGATAGATATCAGAATGCAAGTCATATTATTGCAATTCTCAACTGGTCGCATTATTCACAATAATAAAACCTCACAATAGTTTCTGAATTTACAGTAATCTTAAGAAAGGGTTTATCACGGTCTAAGATACTTACAGATATTATTCGTTTGATACCAATTTTCGTGTTTTTGTCTCGCCTTGACGGAGTCAAAAAGCGAGACATAGGTATGCTGTTTCCGGCGGCAGCGGCGGCGGCGGCGTCAACAATGTATTACTTTGTGATTAGGTCTAGTTCATGGTGAACCACTAGTGGTAGGTCAATGATATTTGGTATGCAGTTGTATTAGCATTGGCACATCTCATTACCATGGAGATTATTTGACCCCGCCCCCTCAGTCAAGGTCTATTGACTTTGAAACTTTGCTTTGTTTACATGTATTAGTTTGTGATTAGGTCTAGTTCATGGTGAACCACTAGTGGTAGGTCAATGATATTTGGTATGCAGTTGTATTAGCATTGGCACATCTCATTACCATGGAGATTATTTGGCCCCGCCCCCTCAGTCAAGGTCTATTGACTTTGAAACTTTGCTTTGTTTACATGTATTAGTTTGTGATTAGGTCAGTTTATTGGGAACCACTAGTGGTAGGTCAATGATATTTGGTATGCAGTTGTATTAGCATTGGCACATCTCATTACCATGGAGATTATTTGGCCCCGCCCCCTCAGTCAAGGTCTATTGACTTTGAAACTTTGCTTTGTTTACATGTATTAGTTTGTGATTAGGTCAGTTTATTGGGAACCACTAGTGGTAGGTCAATGATATTTGGTATGCAGTTGTATTAGCATTGGCACATCTCATTTCCATGGAGAATATTTGGCCCGCCCCCTCAGTCATGGTCTATTGACTTTGAAACTTTTGCTTAGATTACATATATTAGTTTGTGATTAGATCAGTTTAAGATGAACCGCTTATGTTAAGTCAATGATATTTGGTATGCAAATGTATTGGCATTTGCAAGTCTCGTTTCCATGGATTATATAGCCCAACCCCCTCATCATGGTTCATTGATTTTGAAACTTTTACATAGTTTACAAGTCAATGTTTGTGTTTAGGTTTGTTGAAAGGGAACGACTTATGATAAGTCTATGGTAAATGGTATGCAGTTGTATTACCATTGGCACATCTCATTTTCATGGAGATTGTTTTGCCATGTACCTTCAGTCATGGTTCATTGACTTTGAATATTTGCACAACTTGCATGTTAAAGTATTGCTATTTTAATTTCAACATTTGCATTATCAAAAGTACAAAAAGGCGACACATATCTCTGGGTTAACAGTTTATTCTTGAGTACAAATTTAAATGCTCAACGATTTACAAGTGTTCCTATAAGAATATATGCAGACTTTGGTCAAACCATGAAATAAAATATCCATGAAAATGCAATTTTTCCACAATCCATGAAAATTGGTACCCATGGAAATAAATGAATCCACAGTAGTTTTTTATACAAACTACAAAAGAATGTACGTATAATAGTAGTATTATTGGTAGGTTAATGACTGTATAAACTCAGCTGATTGCCACATTAACTGAGTAAAAGAACTAGGTAAAAATGACTTTTATTACATTTATTCCAATTAAATGCACTAAAATATGTCTAGGCAAGAATATTACATCAACACAGAGTTCTCAAAAAGTAGTGGTCTGAAGGTTTTGACCATCAATTGTCTGCCTGCTTGTGATGTCATAGCACAGGTTTATACAGACATAAATGTTTTGGTTACTTCTCAGGATGCATCTATATATGAAATAAAATAAAATGGAATTATTCTTGTTATTGACCTTTTAGATATGCTTCTGCCTTTCAATGACCTCAAAATTCTTACCAACAAATTTTATTCCTTACAAATAAGGAAATCATTTGCTGACAGATTTTAAATGTACAATGATTTTCATGTTCTATTTTAGCGATTTTTCTGGTGATGATTATAAGAATACTGGACAATCTGGCACAGTTTTAACGACAAGGTAAATTATATATTATAAGAAGTAAAATAACAAAAATATCGAACTCCAAGGAATATTCAAAACTGAAAGTCCCTTATCAAATGGCAAAATTATTTTACTGATAAAGCATCATTATTTTAAGGAATTTCACATGTGTGCATATTTACCATTTTATGAATTGCAATGAGTTACATCATTTATCTGGGTTTTGTTCTCTTTTTTACATTGATTTTTCAGCTGTATCCCACTTTTGAACTGGTCTCCAGTTTTTGTTGACTATGACAGTCACATTTCAATTATAATGCAGATCCTGTGTCTAAGTTTAGCTGACAAGGATATGAAAACACTCCCTTCTACTTTCTGTCTAAAGAACTTTAGGGATCCTCTGGTTTTGTAGGTTTAATACACACCATCAAAAATTTGAAGGCTGAAATTTCATTGGCTGATGTAATAATAACCAGAACAGAAAGTAAACCAGTGTTATCAGATCCTCGTAAGCAAAGCTTGGACACATGATATGTATTTTAATCAGATTGTGACATTCATATTGTTATTTGATGCTTGTTATTTGACTTTTCCAAAAAAATCATGTATTGGGGGAGGGAGGACATCAATTTTTTTATATCCAACACCCATAGTTTTTGTCTCCTCGAAGAAAAAAAGCGAGACATAGGTATGATGTTTCTGACAGCTGCGGCAGCCTGGTCTTCCAACAATTTGTTTAAGTTTGTGATTAGGTCAGTAAACCACTAAAAGTAAATCAATGGTATTTGGTATGCAGTTGTATATGTATTGTCACATCTCATTTCCATGGAGATTATTTGGCCCTGCCCCCTCAGTCATGGTCTATTGACTTTGAAATGTTTGCATAGTTTACATGTTAGAGTTTGTTATTTGGTCAGTTTAAGGGGAACCACTTATGATATGTCAATTATATTTGGTATGCAGTTGTATAAGAATTGGCATATCTTATTTCCAGGGAAGTTATTAGGCACTATACCTTCAGTCATGGTTTTTTGTGGATGTGAAATTAATTTCGCGAAAGCGAGGAATAGCGATCCTAAATTCTATCAGCGGCGTCAACATTTAGGTTCAGTCTGTGGTTAAAGTTTTTTGATACTTCAATAACTTTGTCAAACCTACATGGAATTTTATGAAATTTGGACAGAAGCTTGATTATGACCAAAATACAGTATCCAGAGCAAAATTTTGAAAATATTTAAATTTATTTTTCCGTATTTAACTAATAAATGGACTTAATTTTTTTATACAGTTAACATTCAGATTTAGTCTGAGGTTAAAGTTTTTCAGTCATCAATTACTTTGTCAAACCTTCATGGAATTTTATGAAATTTGGACAGAATCTTGTTTATGACCAGAAGACAGTATCCAGATCAAAATTTTTATTTATTTTCATTTTTAACCGTATTTACAAAGGAAAAATCGGTTATTGATTTGGGGATGTACAGCGGGTGGCTTCCAAACAGTGTCCGTTCATTAACATGAAAATACTTTGACGAAATATTTTCAAATTTAGATATGTTGTTTCCTGTGACTAAATGAAGGTCAAGTTCAATTTTCACGATTTTAGCTTTGCTCGTTGTTGAGTTGTAGACCTTTCAGTAGCGAAAAGTGATTCTAAGAGCTTTGTCCGTGCAATAACTTGAAAACACTTTGACGAAATCTTTTCAAATTTAGATATGTTGTTTCCTGTGACTAAATGAAGGTCAAGTTCAATTTTCACGATTTTAGCTTTTATCATTGATAAGATATAGACCTTAATGGAGCGAAAAGTCATACTTAGTTTATACAACAGAAAATAGGATTTCCAGTTTATATGATTGTATCTGTTCAATTGATTTTAGTCAGGAGTTGTCAAAAATTTCTTTATAACTATTTTATTTAAGTCATGTGTGTTTTGAAGGTAGATGTCACAATTGTTATGTGGTATTTTATTTTTGTTGTGTGTGTGTTAATGTTTAATTTTTACTTGATCCTGTTTGGGGGTCCAGATTTGCTAATATCATTTTCATGCAGGAAAATCCGGTTTGCTGTCACTCTGACAGCCTCTTGTTTCGTATTTTACTGATAAATGGACTTAGTTTTTTTACAGTTAACAAGTAGATACAGTCTTAGGTTAAAGTTTGTTACACATCAATTACTTTGTCAAACCTTATTAGAGTTTTATGAAACTTTGGCAGAAGCTTTTTAATGATTAAGAGATAATGTCTGAAGCAGACCTTTGAAAATATATTTTTTTCATTTTTAGACTTTTTCTGATAGATGGACTTCAAATAGCATTTAAATTCTGTATTTTACCAATAAACAAACTCACTTTTTAAGTCAACATTACACTTTTACACTGAAAGCACCAATCGCAGGCGAGACACAGGGTTCTGAGAAACCCCCTACAATTTTTTTACTTTCAGTCTTTGAATATTTTGCATATTTTACAGGTTTAAAAATAGCTATTTTATTTTCAACATTTGCATTTTACTATCAAAATTACAAAGAGGCAAGACATATCTGTGTGTCAACAGTTTATTACTTTTATTTGTAACAACATTGTATTTGCTTCTACCCCTTTTTTACCAGCAGAAAAATATCATATGGTTTCCAACCCTCCCATACATTTTTTTCCTTGAATAGCCGTAACCAAAATGTAAACTTTGGTCCTTTAAATTTCTTTTAAAACAAAATCATGTATTTTAACCTCCCTCCCTCAAGGAATAAAACCCACAGTGAAATTGATTCATTTCAATATCTTTATTGATATTACTGAAATAAAAATAAAAAATCCATATCAAAATATTATTTTATGAACATACCTCATAACAATAAGCATTTTTCTCTTGATTTGAATATTGGTGCACACTGTTTATTGCCAGAAATGACATATCCTTTTATTGAAGTTGCAATGAAATTCACCTTTTATTTCAGAATATATCACGGGTAAAATTTTATTGGAATGGTTAAAACTGTCTAAACTGAATTTCCATCTTTGTCGAGCCTCCAACTTCTGTCGCAGAAAGCATGACATAGGGATAGTGATCTGGTGGTGGCAGCAGCATTAACTTATAACTTCAAACTTAGTTCAAAGCTTAATATTTCAGAAGGTGCAAGACCTTGATGTTATGAAGTTCCCGTCTATCAAATGTCCATTGTCTTTGACCTCATTTTCATTAGAACTTGAAAAAAAAGATTTTTTGTAATGTTAATTTCTCTCTTATTATGAGTAATAGGATACCTATGTGTGGTATATGCATACCTTGCAAGATCCTTATGCATGTCAGACACTTTTCACTTGACCTCTACCTCATTTCATGGACCTGTGAACAAGGTTAAGTTTTTTGTGGTCAAGTCTATATCTCAGATACTACAGGCAATAGGAATACTATATTTAGTGTATGGAATGATTGTAAGGTGTACATGTCCAACTGGTAGTTGTCATCTGAGCTTGACTCATTTTCATAGTTCAGTGGTAAAAGTTAAGTTTTTGTGTTTTGGTCTGTTTTTCTAATACTGTATGCAATAGGTCAACTATATTTGGGGTATGGAAATATTTTATGATGTACATATCAGTCTGGCAGTTTTTATTTGATCTTTACCTCAATTTCACTGTTCATTGCTCAATGTTTAGTCTGGTTTTTTTTAAAACTATAAGCTATAGGTCAACTATATTTGATGCATGTAATGTTTGTAAGGTGTATATATCTGTCTGGTAGGTATCATCTGACTTTTAACCTCATATTTATGGTTCATTGGTAAATATAAATTTTCATGGTTTGGTCTGTTTCTTGTATACTATAAGAGCAATGGGTCAACTATATTTGGTGTATGGAATGATTGCAAGGTGTACATGTATTTCTGGCTTGGTTTTTATGACTTTGACCTCATTTTCTTTGATCTTGTTAAATTTATGTGAGACTTGTAGTAAAACTTTATATTTAGGACTATCAATATAAAATCAATGGTCAGTAAGCAGGCGAGACATATCAGAGTGTGCACTCTTGTTTAAAACAGGTTAAATTTTTTAATACAAGAGAAATTATGAAACTGTTTTGGATTTTGGATATGAAAAATAGGTGTGGAGATACAGGCAGATGAGACAGCAAACCAACAACACAAAGAGATGGAAGTTCAGTTTACACAGATTTATCCTTGCTTTTCAAAGTTTCTTGTTCAGTTGTCAAACTTTATTATTTTATTATTTTGTTATTTTGTTTTGAACTTGTTCAGTTGACAGCCTTTATTATTTCGTTATATTGTTTTGAACTTATTCAGTTGTCAGCCTTTATTATTTTGTTATATAGCTTCGAACATGTTGTTGAAACTTTAGGCATTGAATTATTATATATTTTGCCAAGTTTCATATTAAAAAAAAATCCTTTTACTGCAAAAGTTCATTTAGCATAAAATTGTATTGTAAACAACTTCATTTTCAAAACACATAAATTTTGGATTTTGTATCTTGCATTTAACTATCGGGGGGAAAATGTTGTTCGAATGAATCATTTTGGCAAACTCTAGCTGTGATATAGCTGTGCTATTTATAGTTTATTTGTAATAGTTATGACATACTTTTTCAGAACCAGGAAGTGAGTTTATTGGACTTGCAATGTTAAATCTTAATAATATCCTTGCTTACAACTAACTTATAAGAAGTGAAATTATATTTGGACTTAAAGTATCTACACCATGATCAAAATAGCGATCTTACATTTATAATTTTTGGTAAAAGTTTTATCAAACATAAATTATTAAGGCAAAATTTATGTAATTGGGCGGTATTTTTCATGTTAATGAAATTTTGTATGTATCTAAAACTCATTGAACTGCTTCTAGATATAGAAAAAATGTTATATGTAGCATTTATACTTCTTGAGATGCAATCAGTTAAGAATTTGATATCTGTTTTTGTACAGAATGCACATAAAAAGTGATTAAAAAAGGCATTGTAATGCCCCACCTAGGGGCATTATGTTTTTCGGTCTGTTCATCCGTTCGTTCGTCTGTCTGTC